TCATTTACCTCTGTTAGCACTGTGAGCACAGTTAGCACTGTTAGCTGCAAGCGGTTCAGTCTGTCCATGTGATTATTCCACAGTTATGTGGTTAAAGTTGTGAATCCAAACCACAACCTACAACCGTGCGTATGAGTTTGGGAAAAACACAAAAATTGTGCATACTAAGTCAAATGTAAATGAGCTAACATGATATTGTCACACGTCAATGACAATGAGTGAAATTGTTTAGCTTTCCAAAGTCCAAATGTAATATTGTCTTTTTAACAAACATATTTTTAGTCATTGCACAGTTCAAACGTGGTTCAAATGTGTCGAAGAGACATTTCTCCCTCTCTGGTCCACCTGAATTGGCGGGACTTTGTGTCTCTGGGGACCACAAACATTTATACTAAATGTCGAACACACCCATCCGATCTTTCCAGCCGGCGCCGAAGGACCGACCAAGCTGGTTACACACACAAGCCATTACGTAAAATGGAGAAACATTGGCAGGGAAGGATGGGTCCCTTCCCCCCTAGCAGCGCTCACGGGGACCAGGGGAAGGGCCCCAGCACGGGGAGAATTGATTGTGTCTTGTCAGCGGTTCCGGTGACAGCTCTTTATTTATCAAGTGCTCGTGTTGCAGTGGACTTGGCAGCGCTGCGGCAGGTGTGAAGGTCAACAAGAGAGTCATATTTTAATCAAAGACCAAGGAGCTAAAAATAAAACTCCCCCGGCGGGCACATAACCGAGAGACCGAAGGAGCCGCGGAGAGGCTCCGCGGAGCCCGCGTCCTAATTATCACGCACATGCGCCGCTGCTTGTTGCTCTGCATAAATGTCAGTGGGACAGGAGCTTTTCTCTTTTTTTACGCTCAAGGAGCCATTAGTGGCGGGAGAATGTGTCGCAATGCACCTGGAGTTCTGAGCCGGAGCCAAGAATCACATGCCTCCCCCACCGGGGTGGCGGAAAGAAGACACTGTCGGTCGGGTGTTGGGGGGGGGATGGGTGTGCGCTCCCCGCCGGTGTGAAGTCGGAAGTGGGGGCCCATGTGTGTGCGGACGCGTTGTCACGAAATAGCGGCCCAATTACAGAGGTGCGTGGTGATGTGCTTCACGAGGGCCTTTCGTTTCCAGTGGACTTGCATCAAGTGTGGGTGGGGGGGCGTTTACAGCCTGGCCGTGAGTCAAAACGCCGCCCCCCCACCCTTCTGGATAATAAGAACTTGTGTGAATGCGTGCTGCGGGGAGGGACAGCAGAGACAGTGGAAAGTGAAACCCACTGGCTGACATTTGTCTTTGCATGCAGCTGCTTCCTCGCCATGAATAAGTTATAATAAACAGTTCCGCCTCATTGCGCTCTGCAGATTCATATCTATAACAAAATAAAGAAACACTCAACTACACCGTAATGCTCATTATGGCATTATTGTGCCACCTGTTGTATTGTGAAAAAACACCTTTCATTGTACTGGGATATATATATATATATATATATATATATATATATATATATATATATATATATATATACCATACAGATATAGAGATGGCTGCTGAACACTGCGTCTTGATTATTAATTATCAGTAAACCTTTAAATGTCGTCACTGGCCTGGTCTGAACTCAGGTATATCGAGAAGCACATGTGTTGCTGGTGGCCTTTATCGGAGACCAGTTTGAGCCGGATACACCCCTTGGAGTCAATGATGACTGGCTTGGCTTCAATAATTACCGGTTCTTTTTTTAAACTTCCTGCCCTCCGTTTTAATCTTTTAATCTGACGCAGGCCAACTCGTCAGCCCTGTGCTGATTTTGTTTTCCACATCCATCTATTCATTTATTTGTCTTACCTGTGAGGTAAATGTATCTTACTCCTTCATACAGCCTCTGCTGTGTACTTTCTAAACATCAGCAGACTTTCTTCTCTGCTCCTGTTTCCAATTTCAGCTGGAAACAGAAATATCACCACAGTCGACGCTTCCTCTGACTTGGACTTCTGTGGCTCGCTGCTGACTTGAACCCTACGGGTTTGTTTGAGAACCTCAGATTTTGTTACAGTTAAATAAATAGTCTACATGTGAGAACCAGGTGAAGATAAAGGTTCCTCTGACCCTCCGAACCATAGCAGGTTGTGCTTTTACCTCTTCAGCTTTTACAGACCACAGTCTGACAGTCTCACGGTCATGTCCACTGAGGGGTGGTCATGTGATCCCATGAGGTGAAGTCATGTGATCCCATGAGGGCTGGGTTGCTTAGGTTTCTAAATGACTCTGCTGTAGTGTCACTGGCCGGATTCTATTCAGAATATCTATTCGTTCCAGATTATTATTTCTGAACATTTGACCGTTCACGAGAAATAATAATCATGACCGAGAAACGCAGATCATGTGAGTAACTGTTAGCACAACTCATTGATATTGCGACACTGTCTATCGACTCTCGCCCTGCTCAGTGGACCCAGGGCCGTCCGGGAGGATTTAAGGGGCTGCGCCTCCTGTCACATGTTCCCCGCGGCTCTCCTCCACCCTCTGCTGGGCAAGAAGGAGGAGGGACAGGTGGTGCACCCACAACGGGCTAGCCAAACTTTTGGTGTTCAATGACACGTTTTGGTATGCTGCAGATTCTCATGATATTAATCTCCCTTAATGAGCTCATTTATTTCTGTGTTGACACCCGAGGGTGGTCTCAAAAAGTTGAAAGAAAATGCCTTACTAAAAAAACATCTTAAATTTACATTTTCAGGTGAAGTGAGGGTATCGTTCCAAGTAAATAACGGTCAAAAGCAGAAATTTATTTATACTCAACTACCAGCACCAGAACGTGCAACTGAACTGCAGAATCATGCAGGTGCACCGCGGCGGGTAAGAGGAGCTCTGTTCGGTATGATGTTACACTAATGAGGACATACATAGCTGTGAATATAATCCTCTCTACTGCTAATGGATTCCATGAAATGCTGCACGCTGAAAGGGCAACCTAATGATTAACCTGGAAAGTCATTAAATTCAACTCAGGCCAGTAACGCCTGAATTTGAATTAGTTACCACACCTCCCATGTGATTAAGTACCTGACTTTGACAAGAGTAAATCCATTTAATGTGAATTCAAGCCTGTTTTTTTACCATAATTAGTTTGGGTTCAACTTATGTTTAAATGAAATAAACCGAACATCTTTTTTTAATTTTCACTTATTAGCACTTTTTATGTTGCCCAGTCCACGTTATTGCTGTTTTAATTGATTTGAACGAGATGTTTTCACAGTCTGGTGCTCCTCCTCCTCGAGGGCCCGTCTCTTCAGCCTCACGCTCACGCGCTGACTGTCAGACATCTGAAAGGAGACGCTTGTGTTGTGTGAACTTGACAGAGCGCCTGACCCTGCAACTTTGATCAGTGACCCGTCGACTGTGATGGACTCGGTCCTGCAAACGCACCCGTCAGCTGCTCGCTGATGAGCTCCTGTTGTTGATTCAACAGAGCGGGTTGCTGTGATCTGCTGATGCTACTTTGAGTAATTAAATAACATGAAAAAATATTTCAGTGCCACTTCTTTTAAAGGATCCTAAAGGTCAACATTAATTATTAGGTTGCTCATATAAATGTGAATCATTTTGGCCTTCTCCTTCTGTCTCTTTGGATTAACCCTTGTCATTTCCGAACCAACAACCTGCTTTTGATGAATTGTATGTATTCTTTGTAATGCCAGTAGTTAGAACTCCTTACTACAAGAGTAAGTACTTTCCTTACATGACCTTCGACTCGTTCGTGCTTTCCTCGAGATGTTCGTGCATAATGTATGACATATTCCAGCCGTCCGTTGCTCAACATAATGAGTTTTCTGGAGCATCAAATGAGGTCATCTCCAACATTGGTGTGAGGGGCTCTTTGTTTTGGGGGGGACGCATCTCAAACGTACGTCCTCGCCTGCTGGTTCGAGGTCTTTGGTTTTAGCAAACTCATTGTTGACTAACAGTTTGAAGAGCTGCCTCTCAGGCAGGAGATCCATTTTTTTGTTTTGATAATAAAAATTCCAGTGAGGTTCGGGCACAACTTTCTTTCAGAACGATAAATCTGCAAACACCTTTCCACGAGGGGAGACGTCTTCCTGCTGCCAGCACAACAGCAGGCCGCACAAACAAACAACTGATACACATCCAAGAAACATCTACACTTCACTTTGCTAAGATCCTACTATGGATAAATACATGAAAATATTCCAAAAGGTATGAGTCTGGCCTTTATTTGACTTTTCTTTCTTTCACAATCATTGTTTCTTGGCTTAGAGTTGTAAAACCATTGTGTAACCTTTGTTCTACAAGTAGTGCTATATGCATAAATAAAAAATGACGAGGGAGAAAGAATTTAGCCCATGAAGATACATCCAGTCATGGATATTCAGTTACACATAAAAAGAAAAAGGATAAAAAAATATATTTATTAAAGTAACAGAGATAATAATACAATTAAACAAAGTATTATTGTTGTTATTGTAGTTATTGCAAATATAAAATATTATTTGTATTATTATGGCTGTCATAATAATAAAAATAATATTTCTTAAAGACGTTAAACAAATGTAGATTTTATCTGTGATGTCAAATATTTTAGTCTAATCTATATGTGAAAAATATTTTTTATATATATATATATATAGAGAGAGAGAGAGATAGATGAATAGATATCAAAATAGCTGTCATATTAAAGTTAATACATTACAATTAATACAATAATAATACAATTCATCAATAATCATAATGCAATAGTAATAGTGAAATATAGCATTCTAAATTTCTAAATAATGAATAATAAATGATTAATTAATAATACACTAAACCTTACTGCCATACACTGTATGTGTATACATGCATTTTTTAAACACATTAAATGTCTCGGTAAACTGCTCATCGTTAAACCGCGGCCTCCGGTGGCTGTTCCTCTGCAGGCCGGCAGAGGGAGCCCTCGCTCCTCCTTCTCCTCCTCCTCCTCCTCCCCTCCAGCCCCGACAACAACAACAAGGAGAAGCCCGCGCACACGCACACGCACTCGCAGTGGAAGCTGGGAGCGCGCGAGGACTCATGGCCGCCGAGCTGCCGCTGGAGATGTAGTTTTCTCGCCAGGATGCCGGCCAGCTTCATCTGTCGCGCGCTGCTCTTCGTCTCGATCTGCGCGGCCAAATCTCTTCCAGACCCGAAAGCAGTCGGTAAGCGGGAGGGAGGATGGGGGGGTCTGTGGGGTTTATCGGGGGGAGGGGGGCAGCACGATCAGAGGAGATGGGAGTGGTTGAGATTTTTTTTTTTATGTCTTTTGTCCGCTCAAAGCAACCGCCCGCCCGGCTGGTGGAGGCCACGCGGGGGGGTCAGATGGTGCAGATCCTCCATGTCAGTGAGGCCTTCACAGATATGAAGGTCCGCTGCACAACAATGGATGCGCGAACGTGTCAAACCTGCGGACACACACACACACACACACGCGCGCGCGCGTGCACGCAAATACACAGGCCCGCGCATTGTGTGTCCGCGTAGAGCCCCATGCGACGTGAACATTCATGTCCATGGTGTGTTCGGAGGGACATTATGTAATGACTTCATCATTCACGCTTCAAGCTGCTGGACAAAGTGCGTGTACCTTAGTGTGTACTTCTACTAGCACAGTAGTCTAGAGACACAATAGGCAGCTGTGGGTCCTTCAGGTTTATATTAGACATCAACCGCATTATTAACTCAATAAATATGACACAATACGAAGTAGTTCAGCTTTGATGTACTGTTACTTGTGATGGAGTATCTCTACATGCCAGTACTTCTAAAATGATCTACGTTCATGTGAGAGCCGTAGTTTTTGTAGATTCCACAAACTAAGCATGTGATCATCTTTGAAAATGTTAAATATTAAACTGCAGAGCGTGTATGACGTTCCTAACTAGCCGATGAACACTGATACCGATGAAGAACGGGGCGCGTACTCTTAATCTCACTACTTCCAGCACACTTTTACCTGAGAATCCTTCAGAGCGGCGCTCTCATTCTGCTGCTGCAGCACGTCCGGCCTTTCTTTGTTTATCAGAACATAATTCACATTCAATCGAAATCGGTTTTTCGCTCCCCAGCCGCGGTTTGACTCGTTCAGTCGTCAGTTAATTGATGCCTCGGAGGTGTTTTTTGACAGCTCGGCACTTCTTCTCTCCATCATCGTCTGAAGAAATGTGCAGCTCTGGACCATCAGCCAATCCTTGCAGAATCAATGAGCATCTATGCAGACAATCAATCGATGCAGCTTTCCTTGTTTATTTCTGCCTACAAACCTCTCATGCAGTGTTGGGTTGCATTTGGCTACGAGGGGGCGTAGACCTCCCGGTTGCCTAGAAAAACCAAGATGGCCACCGCGAAAATAGCAAAGTCGTGGCTTTAAACCAACGGGTGACGTCACTTCTACATCAACTTCTTATTCACACTCTACAGGAATTAAATCCTTCTGTATGAAAAAAATGAGTGATGGACTGAAGACATCTCTGAAACTGAAACGGCCGGACCAGAGGCGAGTTATAAACTGCGTTTCAACTCCACTAGATCCACATGAAAGCTCTGAAGCTCTGCATGGAGGGGTTTGTCACGAGAGGCCCGGAGGGGTTAAGATGGCGACGGCTCGCCTGAGCCCGCTTTTTAGAGAGTCAGCTGGTATCCATGGAAACCCCCTCGCCCTCCCCAAGTGTGACCCACATCCACGACTTCTCCACAGATGGGAGACAAAATGTTCTCGGGCCGAATGCGCGTGAAGAGGGAGCAGCGATGGGTTTGTGACGGGGTCGTCTCTGAGATGACACACACGTCATCGTCGTGACAACCCACCACTTCTGGGAGTCATCAGTGCGCAGTGGAGGGTCGCCACGAGGTGAACCTCCACACAAAGCACGATGCACGTACATTCCGAAAGGTGTCACTTTCTCACCCGTCCATCTCAAAGAAAAGTTCAGGAACTTTTAGGACAAGATGACTCCTGCACAGCTGTTTTCCAGTGGTGGTCCAGATGAAGGGAGCTGAGAGCATGATTGTCCTGCAGAGATGAATAAGACAAAGAACTATAACAAAGAAAAACTGTGTTTCATGCACTATTTGTCCTGTGTTGAAAACTCACCGACATATATATATATTTATTTGTATATGTTTTGTATATTTATATAGACAGAGTCTACATGTGCTCTGGTCTTCATTGTGTTTCATGCTGAAATCTTCTTCACTTTGAAGGTCGTTTTAGTGGAAATCATTGCCTTGCTGCATATTGAGTTTCTCCCCATAAGACACTTGAGGGTGACTTGATATATTGAGTCATATTTGAGGGCAATTACTGCTTTATACCATATTACCTGATTTTAGTCTATTATTTTATAACAAACAGTGTTCCACATTGGAGACTTTGCAGATGGGTGGTCTCACTGGTGTGGAGACTTTGCGGATGGGTGGTCTCACTGGTGTGGAGACTTTGCAGATGGGTGGTCTCACTGGTGTGGAGACTTTGCAGATGGGTAGTCTCACTGGTGTGGAGACTTTGCAGATGGGTGGTCTCACTGGTGTGGAGACTTTGCAGATGGGTGGTCTCACTGGTGTGGAGACTTTGCAGATGGGTGGTCTCACTGGTGTGGAGACTTTGCAGATGGGTGGTCTCACTGGTGACCCATTGATTGGTTGATCCCTAATTTTTACATCTCTATGTGAATTAACCGGACCACTCTGTCTTCATGTCTTTTCTTTTTTTAACCAGAGGTGCAAATCAAAGTCCAGGTGTTCGATAACAGCGACCTGTCTCCGCTAGCCGACGCGGAGGTGGTAGTTCACGGCAACCAAACTGTCCTGGCCTCCAGCCGGGCCGGCGGCGATGGCGTCCTGAGGGTCAGCTTCCCGTACCGCACCGGAACATGGGTCATCATCACGGCCTCCAAACAAGACTACGTAACCAACTCCGTGCCTTGGCACTCCAGCCGCATCCCCCGTACGATTGATATTATACCACATCAATTTATAACTATACTATGACCGTGTATGGAGCTGTTTTCATCCTGAAGCTCTCTTCCCCTTCTCTTCTCTTCTTTAAGTGTATGCATCGGTCAGCCTGTACCTGCTGGTCCAGAGGCCAGGAACCCTCATTTTGTACGATGACATCCTGCAGGTGCTCTCCGGGTCGCCAGGTAGAGAAAAAGAACCCATTTCCTCCTGGCAGTGAAACCGCAATATTTGAACACAACATCATGCTCAAATTCTTTTGAAAAACGGTGAATCACAAGAGCAGTCACTCAGGATTCAGACCGGTCTGGGCACCGGTGGTCCTATTCTTGGATCTTGTGAGAGTCGGTTTGACCCGTCAACTGTTATCCTGTCATCCCGTCTTAAATTAGTTTGTCTCCAGCTCTCAGAGGAGGGTAGATTCCCTCCCCTCTCCTCCCCCCGGTGTCTACTCAGGCCTCCACAGACCCCGCTGCTTAACATTTAGATCGCCCCCGTGTTAACGGCTTCCGCCGTTACCGTGGCAACGCAGGCATTAATTAAGATTCCGGGCCGCGGTCTCTCTCTCTCTCTTCAGGAGCTCGGGACCAGCCGCTGGTGCAGCTTCAGAGGAAGTCCCTCCAGCTGCCGTCCGACTCCAACTATACGGCGCTGTCCGCCACGCTGACCACGGCCCGGACGCAGTACGAGGTCGGCGGCTTCCCCTTCCTCCTGGGCCAAGAGACCAACAGCTCGGGTGGGGAGGCTTTTCTATTTTACAGGGAAAAGGTTGTTTATTTGGTTTATCTGAGAGGGACGGTGCACGATGGTAAAACATTCCCGTAAGAGTCAGCCGAGAGGTTAATCATCCGTAGCCTCAGATGTTACGCTTCAGCATACAAATGAGATGATTCTTTTTTTCTCCCTGAAAAGGTTTTAACAAAATCACTATGACCTTCATCACGGATGAATTTATTGCATATTGGTATTGGTATATTGGTATATATTATAATCAAGTTTTTCTTTGTCATGTTTTTTGTTGTTAACTATATCTGTATGTATAAGTGTTAAATGAAGGGATCCTTGCCAAAAGAAAGAAATGATGCTGATCTGAGCGTCTTCCTCTCTGCAGGGGCCGAAACGGGGTGGACGGACCTGACGGCGTTGGCCGTGGTCAGCGTTCAGCTCTTCGACAAAGACGGCGTCGCGATCGAGGTCTCCGACCCGATCCAGATCTCCGTGCCGCTGCCGTCCGATACCCGCAACCGGATGGCCACCAGTGTGCCGGCCTGGCTGTATCAGCCTAAGACGGGTGAGGGAAGCGTGACGTCAGAGGCCCTCGTGGTGGCGTTCCTCTGGTTTGTGTAATAACGTACATTTCTGCAGGACTGTGGGTTCGCAACGGGACGGGCTACATCAAAACGGACGGCCAGCAGTTTGTGTGGAACGTCGTGGTCCCTCAGATGGGGTACTGGCTGGCTGCGTTCCCTTCGTCCTCAGGTACCTTCTACGACACACAAAAGACAACTAGTGCTCTAGTGTTTATGTTTAGTCGTCTAATTTGGACTCTTTAAGATTTACTGAACAGCAAACCATAGAGGTGAGGCTGAATTATTTGTCCATTTTTGTTGTCTTTAACATTTTCCCGTAACAAGACCAAAAGCCAACAGTGTGCTTGTCATATCGAAGCATAATAAATCGTTTTCCTCTGTGCGTTGAAGTTCCATTTATATCCATGAACACATCAAAGATTTAGAGTTCGACTGCCACAAATTCTCACAGGAGCTGCAAATGCTGATTAATCCGCCGCAGAAAATAGTCCCCAACAAAGGCACTAGTTCCTCTTGTCTGGTCCAGCTGTCCTGGAAAAATGTTTAAAAAGTCTTTCTTAAAGATCAGTGGCCGACACGATGGCCAATCCTTAGACATCCATGCGTTGTGTTGCAGGATTGGGTCTGTCTCATCCCGGCCTGAGGGACATCACCACCTACCACACGCTGTTCCTGCTCTCCATCCTGGGCTCGCTGGCCCTGCTGGTGCTCATCCTGCTCTGTGTGCTGCTCTACTACTGCAGGTGTGGGGAGCGTAGGCGCAGGTCTCAGATTTAGGCTTCTTTAATATAGCAAAAATGACAACGGTGATGTTGGTTGTGGTAATTAATCAACCAAATACTATTTGTTTAATTTTAGGTTAGACTCCTCTTGTAATCCCCAGAGGATCACAGGTGCTTCTTTCATTCCTGACATCCCTTTACCTGTTTTAGGCGGAAGTGTTTGAAACCCCGTCGCCAACAAGGGAAAGCCCACGCGGCCAATCTAAACGGCGCCAAGAGGGACCAGGGTACGTCCACCTCGCGGCTGAATCTGATCTGTGGAGGCCACGCCGAGTCCGGCCCCTCCAATGAAAAATCCGACATGTCCCCATCCCGAGACTACCAGAGTTCAAGGGAGGACCTGACCAAGCACGTTCCGGCCCACATGCTGCGACATGGCAAGGGAAAGAATGCCTCCGGTCCGCAGCGTGGCGAGAGCTTCCAGATGAAGGTTACCCGAGCCACCGAGACCAACAACCTGGACAACCCCCTGCTGCACGAGGACTACAACCGGAGCTACAGCCCCATGGAGGGCAAAGAGTCCGAATACCACCGACACCACAGCGCCAACGACAACCGAGGGTACTCCTCTGATCCCCCGTCCCCGCCTCGCTTCCAAGGGTACGTGCCGAGCCAGAGCGACAAGCCCCCCGAATACTCGGCGGCGGCCTCGGACGGCCTGGCCAGGCCCACCTCCCTCAACACCCAGGCAGGTCAGATCATCTTCTGTAGCTCCATCGACCAGATGAAGGAGAACATGTACCGGAGCATGGTGCCAACGCTGGTCATCCCGGCCCACTACATGCGCCTGCCCTCCGAGTTCTCTAAAGACGGCAAGGACCACAAAGACCAAGACAAAGACGGCGCGCAGATGGGAGGAGGCCAGCAACACCATCACCACCACCAGAAACAAGGCCAACAAGGAGGATCCCAAGGCGGGTCCCAAGGGGACGACTCTGAGGACCCGAGCTGGGCGTCCGACTCCTCCGGTGGACCCATGACCATCCCGGTGCTCTTCAACGACTCCACCATGGCTCAGATGAACGGAGAACTGCAGGCCCTGACGGAGAAGAAGCTCATGGAGCTGGGTGTTAAGCAGCACCCGAGGGCGTGGTTCATCTCCCTGGACGGACGCAACAACGCTCACGTGCGCCACTCCTACATAGATGCTGGGAACGACCTCAGCGGAGGGGGCGGCGGTTTGTTCATCGGCGGCCCCGGCAGCGCTGGCCGAGACGTCAACCTCGAGCCGCCTCTGGAGGCCCAAGAGCGCAAGTCGGCGATCAACAGGAAGGGGAAAGAAGAGCGCTGGGGGACGGGAGGACGGAAGGGCCTCAGCGCCGGCAGCGGCGGAGGGGGGAAGTGCTACTCCAAGCTGGCGTACCCCGACCGCGGCGAGCCCGGCAGCGCCGGCGAGGGTCGCCCTGTCTCTCCCGAAGAGAACTCCCTCACCCCGCTCCTGGACGAAGGTCCTTCCTCTCGAGGGTCCACCATCCCCAGGAAGGGACGCGGCCGCGTCAACAGCAGCCGCAGCAGCAACAACAGCGAGAACCGCCGCGACTCCATGACCAGCCCCGAGGACGACGCCGACGACAAGGACGAGAACAAGAAGAGCCCCTGGCAGAAGATCGAAGACCGGCCTCTCATGGTCTTCCACCCCAGGAAGTGAGACTTCTGGACTCACTGAAAAACACTTTCAACGGTCTTTTCAAAGAAAGAGATGTGGGGATCTTTCCACGACGAGGATTGAAGAAGAGGTTTTTCACCCGTAGAGAAATCACAATTAGCACAAACACGCTCTGCTGGTCCACTGGTCGGGTTGTTGTGTTGACCTTGTGTGTTGACCTTGTGTGTTTCGCACTTTCCGATTTCTCTCGTGGTCTCACCGTTCGTTACTCGCCCCGAGATGATCTATCGTATCCGGTTTATTGTGAACTCTATCACCCATCACACCACCGAGCCGTCGTCCGAGCCATTACACTGACTGTGGAAATAGCCATTTTATAGAGCAGAATATGAGAACAAAGCACTTACAAAAAATGTGATTTATACAAAGTATTTGGAAGTGGATGACCTTTCTATGGGACTGAAGGGTGAACCCGTAAACCGACGCTCACATAGATGGTAGAAGACGCGCGCCAGTGTGACAACTCCACTGCCCCGAAGCTTTAACCACAATAAGTTTTCTTAAAGGAAACGGCTTCTCGAGGCTTGAATACGTGATTATTCCTCCTCTGCCCCCATAGACTGATCGCAATCCACAAAATCAGCGTGCGACCTGCGACTTGCTCCTTCTGGGACGCTCTTCCTCCCGTGCTGTGTTCATGTGTTCCGATTACTTAATCACAGTGCTGATTTGTTTTTAGGAGTCGCTCCGTCATCATCCCCTCTGTCACCGACTTGTTGCCAAAACGTAGACTTCTCTGCCTTTTCATTCTCCTCTCGGCCGTTTTAGTCGACTTCTGTCGTGTAAATAGATCTCCTGGACGTTTGAAGGATTGTTCTGGTTTAGAAAATGGTTTTGCATGCATTTGAATGTATGAAAGAAACAGAAGGCATCTAACCTCCCACACATATATACACAGAGTCCTCCCCTAATTGCCAAGAAATCGTGAGTGAGCCTCTACAGCCAAAACACCACTTTACTTGAAGACCTGTTTGAGATTCCACTGAGATCCACGGGAGGGTTGGAGGGGGGGAGTTCTCACAAGGCCTGCACCACTACTCTCCTGTAAGTGCCTTCTTTCACATAGGATCGAGTGATAGGCATGCAGGTCCCTCTTTAAGATGCGGCCCGGCATCACCAGTAAGCACACTGCATTGTGGGAGCAACAACACGCGACACTCTGGGGGGGGGGCACCTGTAAAAAAAAATACCTGTTTTCCTTGCAGCTGTTACGTCCTTTAATACCTACGTTTTATTGTATCTATCCTCTTTTTTCACCAGACTTGTAAATGGAACGATGAACTATATGAGATTTTACGGTGTAAACAACGTGCATGTAACATGTAGAATAGCGTGTTTTTACTGATTTTCTTTTCTTTTTTTATTGATCCAGGATGCTTGGTCACAAAAAAAAACAATAGAACTAAAAATGTGACGCACTGACGCGTTAAATCGTGTTGCCAAAAAGAACTCTGAAGATACACTGAATTTTTCCCTTCATCCAGCTCTGACAAAATTCACTTCCGGTCGTAAATGTTTACAACGACAACCACACTGACCAACGTGCTCTTTCCATAGATTCTAGCAACTGTGAACCCCACCGTGTCATCACGCAGACGAAAGCAGTTTTTTCTGTTTTTGTTTAAGGCTGTATAAACGTCACGCTGGCTTGTTGGTCTTTTTCCTCCATTGCTATTCATAAGCCTCTGTCAGCTGCCTACAAATGTGATGTGAAGTCTGAAGAATAAACCACGATCAAACGATTCCTGCTGAATTGTCGCGTCCACTGCTGTAAATGTAAGTTTTTTCGGGGATCAGATATTTAATTATTATTATAATGAGTTGTGCAATTGCAGCTTTTCCTGTTTTTGTTTGACATGAGAGAACGTGTTTTCTCACTATATTTGTTTTGTGAACTGACAAGAGATTTTACACAAGAAGTAAACCACATCGTTGGGAGTTTTGATGGTACAAATAGACCCGAGGGCGAGGAGGAGAGAACTGTGCTGTAGGCCTTCACCCTGTGCGGTAAATCATTTGCTTCATAAACCTGGTTAGTTGTTTGTAAACTGTAAATTGACTTTCTGTACACGAAATAGAAATAAATTTGTTTCAATGGTCATTCGTTGTTTGATGATTTATTTTTAGTCAGAAGTTATGCTGATTTTTTTTTAATAAAAATGAGCAAAACTGCTGAGACTCCGGTCTATTAATTATATTACCTGAATAAAGACTCCGATCTTTTCCTGAGACAAAAATAAATATTTCTTTGTAGAAATAATCTGTTCATATTAAACATAAACATACACGTTCGTATTAAACTACAGAAGTATTAGCATCAGAACGTACTTAAAACCCCCAAAAGTAAGAGCATGCATTATACTGAATTTTTGGGGGTTATTGTATTAGATTTATTGATACGTTCACGTGTTCATCATTTTAACATGGCAACTAGTTAATTTTACTTTTATATACCTCTGGCAAAGCTGTGAATAGACGAAGTTGTGTGTGGAAATGTGGAAATAAATGTAGTAAAAAGTACAAAATGTTTTCCTGAGTTTGAGTACAGAAGAAATAGAATTAGTCAGAAAAGAGAAATAAAAATTAAATAAAATCTAAAAGTCCTGAGTAAATCTAGTTTCCCTTTAATTACGTATTCCGGTCACGTGACGGCCCGCAGTGTAATATCCCTTTAAGGGCAGAGTCACGTGAGAGCGTGTCACGTGATTGTTGAAGTGCAAATTTATTTTAAAAAAATAGAAAGCTTCGTTTCTTTGTACTCTGAATGTTCGTGAAGCAGCTTAAATATCCGTCACGCGTCGAATTAGACGGTTTTCCCATTTGCGGCGAACCCATCAGGTGAGAAAAACACAAGTCATTCAAACCGGTTAGCTTTACTGTTAGCCACCTAGCATGCTACACGCTATGCTATCCTGGTGTTTTCTGCTGGGTTACCGTTATCTTGTTTGTAGAAACCCGTCCGACGTTAGCCAGGTCCCTGCTTTCTGTTTGTGTAAGTGAAAAGTACCTGATGGCGAGTTGTTTATATCTTATAAAAGTGCTGTATTTTGTCAGAGTTTAATGGTGGTGTTGTTGTTCAGGTTGCAAGAGGAGAATGCAGCATAGACCTGTTCATTAATAACACCTGAACTGAAGCTGACTGCAAAGCCTCTGCTATGACGTTAAAGGTAAGCTAGACTGTTCTATGTTAAATGATACGTTAACGTTAGCTACAGTAGTGGAAACCTAATGCGTTGAGGGAAACTCTTACTTTTAGTAGTATTACCATTTTCTGCTACTTTAAACTTCTATATTAGGGACAAATTCTGTATATTATATTGGATTTATCCTGGTCCTCCTTTTTTCTATTTCATTACTTTTTTAAGAACAAACTACAGTGCAATTAACTGATCTAATGAATCATCTTCAATATACGTGGAGCAGCTTATGGTGGTGTAGAGCCTCCTTTCACTTTTAATTTAGGTGTGTTTCTGATTCCTGATTATCCGGAGCCAGAACAATTATATATTAATGTTACATATTAATAAACCTTTTTTTTTTAAGGCTCAGAAACTTTTTTTGTCTTCTTACATTGTATAATTTTCTGTTTACCAGATAATTTTACTCCATACATTTATTCAATGAAGATACTAGTCTATTTGACATCTTGCAGATTGTTGATTAAATTCAATATTCTTTTCCTTGTGTATATAATGTGAATTTTCCACTCATTAATTATTTATGTTCGTACTGATGATTGTAGTAAAATATAGTAAGTATAAATCTTGAACAGACTCACTAGAGCAGCAGTGAGAAGTTGACAAATAAACACAAAAAACATTAGCAGTTTAACGCATTTGATATGTAAAAATGTCCAAACGTCTAGTTCCAGCTTTTAAAACCGGTTGCTATTTTTTTTTTTTGAATTATGTATATTTTATTATCTTTAGGCTTCTCTTTACATCTTTACAACTGTTGATGAAATAGTCCATCCAATAACCTTTTTTTATTTAGCTGAACAATTAATGGAGAAACAATTTACCGGTTTAATTCACTGGAACAGAAAATGTACAGAAGAAGTTCTTTCGAACAAGAAGCAATACTAAATATTAAATAAATATTTGATTGTGATTTTTCTCTCTTTGTATCAGTTCTTGAGGGTTATGAAATGTCCAAAATACGTGTGATATCAGCACAATAAAAGGTCACGAACTCCACAACCCCAGTTTATCTGAAAGAATTCCTGCTGAGCTGCTGTGCTGTTCTTTGTTATCTGTCTCCACTGTGATTTTAACTCTCAAAAAGAAAGAAACACAAAGGGAAAAAACAAACAAAAGATTAGCTGAAATGAGCTCACAGGGGTTGAGGATCTTTGCGTATCGTCGGTACACATTACGTCATTGTCTCCGCTGCTTGTGTGCAGATGTTGCCGATGGGGGTCGTGTTCCTGGCTCTGCTGGGCCTGAGCTGCACCAGGGTCTGTCCGGATGGAGGCATCTGCCGGCACCAGAACACCTGCTGCAAGAACGCCGTTGGAGGCTACGGGTGCTGTCCGCTACCATATGTGAGTCCCGTTAGTTAGATTTAAATCAAAGCAGAAATACTACACTGAGTAAAAGTCCTGCATTGAAAACACAATTTAAAATGACCCGCGAGGAACTTTCATCTGCTCTTGATCCAGTCTCCGTTTAATCCTGATCCTCTACATGAACCAGTTGTACTTCAGTAAAGAGGTGGACCCAGAGTCCGACTTGTAACAAAACACAGTTGAAGTCTTTTAAATGTTTCATCTGAAACGGGAGGACCTGAACCACCTTTACTTTCTTCTTCACGTCGTTGCTGGTTTTTAAAGCCTTTTTTATTCCTACCCCCCCTGCAGGCGGAGTGTTGCTCAGACCACCTGCACTGCTGCTACGAGAGGACGGTGTGTGATCTGGTCCACAGCCGATGTGTGAATAAGACCGTTTCCCTTCCCATGATGAGACGCGTCCCTCAGGTAAACCCGACAAAGGACTCGTGGTTTTCTCCTTGTGTTGTTCCGCTGCTCGCTGTTTCTTCTGAGCTCGTAAAACTTATTTTGTAGATTTTTAAGTCTGAGGGATAACACTCTGGCAGTCATGGATTTTTTTCCTTCATCGTTTAGATATGTATGTAAATATTTGAAAATTCCAGGTCAAACTGCAAGCTGCAGCATTTTTGGGGTTTTATTCTTATCTCTTTATGATACAAAAAGCACGCACAGTAAAAATTGGTGCAAATGAAACATAAGTGACGCATGAAAGTAAAGGGCTACAGAATTGAGAGAGAAAATGGCAAAAGACAACATATTGTTGCTTCTGGAAAATAAAATTATTCCAGTTGAACTTTTCTTAACACATTGTTTCTTTATAAATCCCTGATATAAAACACCCCTGACCTTCCCTCTACTGCTGCTGTAGAACAAGAGTAGTCCTGTACACAGGGTGCACTATTCATGACGCCCTTCGAAGAGGACATATGTAAATGTGTAGTGTCCTGATGTTAATGTCTTCTATACACTTTACATTCTTGTATTTAAGGCTCAAATGACGTATGCTTTGTGCACATTTCTTTTCAGAACTTTCACTATCGGGAGGATCCGAAATGATTGAATGACTGGAACACTGTCTCTCTTCATAGGATTGCGTGTGCGTGCGTGCGCATATTTATACACACTTATTTATACACTACTCTTTCTCGTGGGCTGTGGTGTGTGACGTGTGTGACTGGTGCAGCTTCAAGAGACGCTGAGAGCCATCATCTGTCCAGACCAAGAGTCCGAGTGTCCGAACGATGCCACCTGCTGCCAGCTTCTGGACGGCTCGTGGGGCTGCTGCCCATTAACTAAGGTGAGATAGATAAAGGTATATCGATGGAGAGATCTATGTATCTTGAATGTTGTCTTGAAAATGTCTCTCGCAACATATCTTGGTCACAAATAAGTTATGTTTTGGATTCTTGTTTTTGGTATTAGTAAGATATTTGATGGTGCTTAAGCGAATATATCAGCTCATGTATGATTTAATTGGATTTTCATGGAGGACATTTCTCTCCTACAGGCGGTGTGTTGTGAGGATAAACTCCACTGCTGCCCCGAGGCGACAAAGTGCGACCTCGCTCATTCAAAGTGTGTTTCCTCCTCGCTGGAGTCCTTCCCCATGCTGGAGAAGCTGCCCGCAAAGAGGAGGGACAATCACTCAGGTAGAAAGATTTACGAAGTGACATGTTGATGTACCAATTAATGAAGACTAATGACTTTTATTCTTTTGTTTATTTCTAGTCGGCTCGGTGTCGTGTCCCGGGGGCAAAAGCAGCTGCCCAGACAGTTATACGTGTTGCCTTCTGGCCAGTGGAGATTACGGCTGCTGTCCTTACTCACAGGTACATGCGTCTGATATACATGAGCTGATTTATTGATCAACACTTGCTGCTTTTCTTTGATTCATTTGTATTATAAATTTAATATCTTTAGGTTTTAATAAAGGCAATTTGAAGAGATCACATCTCTACCTGAGAGACATAATTTTACATAATAATCTGACAAATAAAGTGTCATATGATTAATCCGTTAATCGGGAAAATAAGTTTGTTGCAAATCTTGTGCAGGCCATGTGCTGCAGCGACCATCTCCACTGTTGCCCCAGCAACACGATATGTGACCTGGCCCACGGGGTCTGCAAAGACGGGGAGGCGATATTTCCGCTGCTGAAGAAGATCGCCGCTGTGCCCAATGACGGTAAGCAGGCCGACCCAAAGAGAGGCCGGATGCATCGAGATTAATAATTTAAGAGCTTCTCGTCCTCTCAGTTACGTGTCCAGACGAGACGTCGTCGTGTCCAGACGAGACGACGTGCTGCAAGATGGTGGACGGCTCGTACGGCTGCTGTCCGATGCCCGACGTGAGTGCACCGAACTAACGCGTTCAAACGGATCCACATTGAGTCCGTGGCAAAGTAACTACGCCTGCCCTTTGGCTCGATTTCATCAGTTGCACAACTCCATTTTATTTAATAAATATCTTCGCCTATTCATTAATGCATCATTTTGACATATTTCTGAGACAAGCCTCTGTCTTTCCAGGCCGTCTGTTGCTCAGATCACATCCACTGTTGTCCTGAAGGAACCCAGTGTGACGTCGCCCACAGCGCATGTTTATCCGCCCGTGGAGCGGCTGCCTTAACGGTCGTCGCCGTGGCAACGCCGACGGAAGTACAGAAAAAAGGTGGGACGGTTATGTTCACCAGGGGAAATCTGGTTTTATTTTTAATAAAATAAAGCTGTTTAATAAAATTGTTTTAGGGATATATATATATATATCATTTTTTTAAAATAATGTTTGATAATATAATAAATAATAATGATCGTTTCTCTTTCAGTCAGCGTCCTTCCCTGCAACGACTCTGTTGCGTGTGCTGAGGGGAGCACCTGCTGCGGGTTGGTGGAGGGAGGATGGGCCTGTTGTCCACTACCCAAGGTACCATCATTCAGATGTGCATGCGTATGACACAGAGGACGTTGTGTATAGATATTGTTCAGATACCACAGCTTGTTCGCTGCCACCCCTCCAGGCCGTATGCTGCGAGGACCACCAGCACTGCTGTCCACACGGCACTGTTTGTGACCTCGAGGCCTCCACCTGCGTCGACTCCTCTGCCGGCACGTCCACGCCGTGGTTCGACAAATCGCCCGCCTTCTCTCTACCGACCGGCAACAGCCAGTGTGACAAGACCACCTCATGTCCCGGGACGTCCACCTGCTGCAGGGCGGTGGGCGGCGGCTGGGCCTGCTGTCCTCTGCCTCAGGTAATGAGGAGCGGATAGTGTAGCGTATGGGGGCGGAGGTAGCGCATGGCACAGTGTAGGGAGTGGGGGGGAGGCTTGTGAAAACTTCTGAACCCTTCAGAAAGTTGAAAAGGATCATTGTTTTAATTTATTGTTAACTTTTTGAACATCAACTTCAGCAACTACATAAGTGAATCAATACTGCGATTTGTGTGTCACTTTTTTTTGCTCTGTTTCTGCTTCCCTTCCAGGCCGTGTGCTGCGAGGACCACCTCCACTGCTGCCCTCACGACACCGTCTGCAACCTGCAGGCCGAGACCTGCGACGACCCCTCGGGTGTCCTGCCGTCCCTCCGCTGGGTGGAGAAAGCGAGCGCCACTCGGGCCGTTGCCATGCCGACTCTTCCGGCCAGGAACATGTGCGACGCCCAGACCAGCTGCCCCAGAGACACAACCTGCTGCTTCATGGACCAGACACGCAAATGGGGGTGTTGCCCTTTGCCGAAGGTACTTGGCCCGTGACACACGCACGCACGCACGCACGCAGAAACCCACATGATGGCTGAGGCTTGTTTTTGCTGCCCCAAAGGCTGTGTGCTGCCACGACGGAGACCACTGCTGCCCCAGCGGCCACACCTGTGAGCCCCACCGCTCCTCCTGCTCGAAGGGACCCCTTGTCCTTGTGCCCTGGTTCTCCAAGCTGAGCGCCCGCAGCGAGGCGGGGGGGAACGCCTCCGCGACGGACGTCAAGTGCGACAACAAGAGCAGCTGCGCCTCGGGGACGACGTGCTGCAAGCTGAAGACGGAGGGGTGGGGCTGCTGCCCGCTGGTGAAGGTCCGTGCATTGCCGTCTATACGCGTGTTAGATTATTGTGATAAGTGGTGGTCTGTCTGAGGGGGCAATACGCTTTTAATCCATTCAGAAAAGGCCATTTAAGTTTAAAAATCAACTGCAATTCACAGGTTGAAAAACAGGCTTTTGTGTTCTTATTACATTTTTCTCTGACTTAAATGACACCAAATAAACTCTTTCCTCCCCAAGTTCTACAAGTAAAGAGACTTAGTAATTTGTCCAGATGAGGTCAGCAGAAATGAGGGACATTTAATCAAAAAGTATTCTTTAACTCATTAAGCAATAAGTTAAAGTGCCTAAATTGAATCACCTAAATCAATGTATTACCTCTTCATATTTTTACTTATATATTTATTATTACAAAAATCCCTCGTCAATATTGCAGTAATTTATTTTTGTTTTTATTCATTGGGAACCTCCCAAAATGTCTTCTACAGAATATTCTGCTTTAATTATACATTTGTAGTGAATGTGACTGCATAATTCACCTTTGTTCTTGTTTCGTGGTACACGCAATTACGATTGTTCCGGGATCACGGTCCCTTTAAATGTTTTGTTATGTTGTGACGTAGAGTCCCTTGCTTGTGAGGTTACAGGGCTGCGCCATCTTGAGTGTTGTTATGGTAATAATAAACGAGACACACGCTGCTGTTCTCAACTCGCGGAATTGCCTTTCATTACAAACGCAACTTCCACACATTTATATTAATATAATATTTAAAGCAGTACGACTAATTTAATCCAAGGAATCACTTTATTCAACTTCATTAAATATGTTTTAGGGGTGATACATTCTTAATAGTCCAAGGACGTTGATGTGAAAATTTAAAGACCTTGCTAGTGGGACACAACTGTTGCCCTTCGTTGTACTATGTGTTCTTCATATTTAATAAAAGCCCCTTGTTCCGTCTCCTCAGGCCGTTTGCTGTGCCGACCGCGAGCACTGCTGTCCTCAGGGTTACACCTGCAACATGCAGACGAGCACCTGCGAGAAGACCGCCGACGCCCTCCTCCCCCCCCTCCCTCAGGTCAGAGTGGTACGGCCCGAGCCCGTAGACCACGAGGACGTGGCGTGTGACGTCGGGGGGGAGTTCCGCTGCCCCGGACGGGCCACGTGCTGCAGGGTCTCTGCATCGGAGTGGGGCTGCTGCCCCTCCCCGCAGGTACGTTCACGCCTCACCCACACGGGACACTTCCGGTTTGTTGTGAGGTCATGTGAGCAGTGAGCACTACGTCTGATCGGAAGGCTCCTGACTTTTGATTTAATTTGATCTGAACCCTTTACTCAAATTGATTTAAAAAAAATAAAAAAAAAATCAAGTTCTGAATGTAAAAACCAGACTTGATGGATTAGATCTTTCTTTGATATCTGTCATCAAGCTGTGATGGATCATAAATAATCGATTAAATAACTTACTGGGCCACTGATAATTGGCTTATTATAAATTATTTGCATCATAAAGGATACATCTGGCTCATGAAATAGTTCAGCCTTCATCTGTGTTAACGACATTAAATCCACATCCTGACTTACGCTGCATCTCCTCCCACAGGCCGTCTGCTGCCCTGACTCAAAGCACTGCTGCCCCGCCGGCTACTCATGTGACCCGAAGGCCGGCGGTTGCTCCCGCCCCCAGCTGACCTGGGACGGAAAGAGTGACTTTGTCCCGCATGGACTTTGATCCCACCTAAAGGTGCACCAGTCCTTTTCATCCATAACACCCACTTTAGTCTGTGACAGCACTTCCTCTTTTTGTCCTTCATATGAGGGGGGGGCTGATGAAACGTGGTGGCAATGAAGACATGATAATGAAGTAGAAGCACTTTGACCAGGTGACATCGCTGTTTATTCGTTATTATCATGATCTCAGTTTGCTGCAGATGATGAGTGACTATGTGGGTGTTGCGTCATGGCTTTCTTCATTTTAACAAATGTAGAGATAAAAACATCAATGCGTTCCTTTGTCATGTTGGTTTCATGTATTTTTTGTAACTGTTTCAAACCGCTGGAGGAGCAAGTTGGACAATGAGCAAAGGAATTACTTTTTAGTGTGTTTCATTGGGTTTTATGAACAGATGAATAAGTTGTTAAACTGGTCACCTTCATGGTCTTAATGGACACGATGTTAAATAAAGTTGTATAATTATTATTTTGCTTTTTCTGTCATTTGTTTTATAAAGCAGGGATTTTAAACCTTGCTTATTTTATTTGATGTGGCACTAGCTTATAGTACTCTAGGATCTTATCAGTCCTCTATAAACTGGACAAATAAAGTCTCGAATATTTACTAAAACCATCTGCTGGCTGTTAAGTTAAGATAAGTTTTTATCATTGAGGAGGAAATGATGCCATTTGTTGGGACCCAGTTTCAGCGGCGGATGCATCGAGTGTCTGAGAAACAGGAATTAATGGAGGAATAACGGTGAACTTCAGCAGCATCACCAGACTTCATCTGCACGTTTTAGAAGATCATATTTGACTGGAGGTGTTTCTCCAGTTCACTTTGTGAGGAAGGAGCCTTCCCGGTCACAAGTTGTTGACCGTTAAAAGGATTTATTTGCATGGGGGAAGTCCGTTTGGTTGGTGTGGTAATTAAATGCACAAGGTCATACTTGAATTATTATCAGCTGGCAGGATGTGCAGAGCTCACTCCCCTCCCTTGATGTTATGACAACCACAGTAAACGCAGTGGACACAAGTGCATCGTGTGCCCTCTGGTGGGAAGAAACAAACAATTGGGGATTTGAAATGCCTTTATCACTCCATACATTTAGAAAATAGTGTCATAGACAAATCCATACAATTTTGTATGAACGAGGCAGTGGATGATTTATAGATGGAAAAACAACAAAAAAAGATAATTTTAAATGTTTCATTCATAAACCAACTAAAGCTGTCAGATAAATGTAATGTACAAGTAGAATGTGGCATGAAAGTACTTCTACTAAAGGTACTAAAAGAGCACAAGGGTCACAGAAGGAAGGAATGTGTGCGTGCGTGTGTGTGTGTGTGCGCAGGGGGCGGGGCGGCTTGTCACTCACACACATGGTCATCGACACACAGCACAGAGCGGCACACAGTCCTTTACTTCTTCTGCTGCTTCTTCTGCAGCGGAGACCCGATCTCTCCTCGTCTCTCACTGAGGTAAGCGCTTCTGTGGACGCAGTTTCTCTTGACTTTGAAGACCTCTGGTTAGGTCTGAGGCTCAGCAGAGCAGCCAGTGGTGCAGACAGGAAGTGAGAGTGAGTGGTGCATCATGGGAGGTTGTGATTGAGATGTTGAGCTTTAAAGAAAAAATTAGGTGTCATTTTAGTAATTTTGTTTTTAATGGTTATTTATTACATATTCTGTCATTCACGTCTCTAAAGGACCGCCAATTCTTCTAAATGTACTATATCTGTATTTTAGTTTGATACAAGACTCTATTTTTCTTTTCTATTGATATTCTTGCTTTGCTGCTGCAACAACCCGTTTAATCCGTTTCTTTGTTCAAGATTTTAATTATCTTTTTTAAAAACTTGTATATCAATATCTTGTCTTAGTATATTTGTATTGTCTTATGTCCCTACTGACAATGTCCACAACAGGTAATTATTCAATATTGCCTGAATGTCTCCTCATCAAAAACCAGACTTTGTTGAAAGTCATTTAGTAATTATCTTTAGTTTCAGGTCCACACACGTGTTGACGCCACTTTAAAGTCTCCAGTAACGGAACGTCTCCTCGTGTGTGAGGACTTCAGGAGCCTCCTTATTCATGGGAAACGCCTGTGTGTTCGCATCCCCTCCAGTATTCGCTGTCAACATGGCGAGCATTTGAGCAAGAGCGACCCGGACAGCTGGCCCGGCGCAGTGGAAGGCATGCGCCCCCCATCCACCCGCGCGCCAAAGCCCTGCGTGCTATTTATACTCCGCTGGCCAGGATCTCTGCTGGTGTCCGTTCATTCACGCCCGGACGCCGCAAAGGCCACCGCGTCCGGATCAAAGCCGGCTACAAATCTGCTGGTTCTGCTATTCCATTCGCGTAGGGGAGCCTCTGGTGTTACCAGCTGACCCTTTTTACCCGACGGCATCGAGGGAAAGCGAGCTGTCATAGAGACAAAGACGAAACAGTCAGTCAACTACAATTTAAACAGAACTGAGTCCTCATCATTTAAGAGATCCTCTTTCCCCCCCAAGCTCGTGACATTAGGGCAGAGGTTTCTCAGTAATCCTGCTTGCCAAAAAAGTAAACAAACCCAGATCTGGTTGAGACCTCCATATCCAAAGGTTCAAACTGTCCCTGTTAAGGTGATTCCTGGGGAGCAGCTCTGCATGTTCTGATTGGGCCTCTGATTCGCTTCTCTTCCAGTCGTCACAGCGTAGATGCTCCATGGCCATCCCGCGAATGTTTAACTCCAACACCCCGTTCGTCGTCATGACCGGAGGATCAGAGCTCTCTTTTCTCGGCAAAGAGGACGCCAGCCGAGGATGCGGGGAGGAGAAGGAGGAGGAGATGGAGGAGAAGGAGGAGAAGGAGGAGGAGGGCTCGCTGGTCCAGGCCATCGGCAGCCACCTGAGCCGGGTGATGCAGCGCGGCACGGCCAACCACGTGGTCGCCGAGGGGCGCCACGCCGCCGGGGAGAGCGTCTCGATAGTCGCACAGGCCGAGAGTACGTGGATCTATGTGGATTCTCTGTGTGTGTCTGAATCCGTTAGGGATGTCTATGATAAGTATGCATGCTGAATTCATTTTTAGGGTTAGGGCAATTCCTCTCTACTGGATGTGTTTCTACTTTTAGCACGGTATGCTAGCACTCAAATGTCTGGCTTGAGTGCACATAGAACAGTTCAAAGGCAACACAAGTTACCAATACCTCTAAATCTCATGAGCATTAATCTCTACTTCATCTAGAATGTTAACTCTTGAGATTAGCTCCTTTGCTTCCTCCTTCGTCTTGATGCCAAGCTAATTTAGCTGAATGCTAGCCATTTATTCAAGACGAGCATGGGTTGTATCGATCGTCCCACACTGTTTTATTTGACTGAATGTATTTATATTTTTTTGGAAAGCACTTTTTGCAAAGTTACAGATCAATTTTTCTCCGTTCCAGGAGAAGACTTTCAGGAGTTCAGCCCCACAAAGACACAGCGCCCTTATTCAAGATCTCAGCTGCTCAAAAAACACAGGTACTTCATAATAAACCATCCACATCAACATGTCTCAAAATGAATTATACACCTGTAAGAACACAAACCTTTTGACGGCTCCATGTTTAGGATTTAGGGAGAGCTTCAGTTATTTTACTGTTCGTAAGAAGTGGAAATAGTTGCTGTGATGTCACCTATCAGTTTTTGGACGGAGGTTTTGAAGCCTTAAGTTAAAAAATTTGGAAGCCACCATCTTGGCTTTTTTGTGAGAGATAAACAGTGACCATATTTGTAATGAGGAGGACGTAGAGAACTGTCAATCAGCGTGTAGCCCCGCCCTAAAGCATCCCCTGCTTTATGGTCTGTTTGACTCTAAATGGATCATAATTCACCAAATTAACTTCATATTGTATTGAAGAAGACTTGAAACTAGGGATTGAGACCATTAAACTCTCACTCTCTCTTAGACTTCTATCCAGGGTCAAGGGTCGCCCCCTTGTGGTCACTAGAGAGAATGCATCTTTAAAAGACTCCCTTCAGAGGTTGCTGCCAAGTGACCTGAACCTCTATCGACTACATTCCAGATCTGTTAGTGTGAAAGCTGCGCTCCTGAGTGACACAGAGGACGAGGACTTCAACGTGGCGGCCAAACTCCCACTGCATCACCTCCGGAGGAAACCACGCCGGAAAACCGGAAGGCAGAGCCAAGCGGACGGGGAGCGACCTCCAATCATCCGGGGTCTGTGGGTGCAGGAGATCGATTGGCTGAACTCGGCGAGCAAAGAGACCACGTCCTTCGCCGCCGCCGAGATAATCCCGCCTCCTCCGCAGTTCACCGACTGCGCGGGCCCAGGCGGTGCGGATGTGTGCGTTGGAGGCGGAGAGGATGCGGCAGAGGACCGGCCCGCGGCAACGGACGCTAGAGGAGGCTCAGACTCTGACTGCAGTTTGCACCGGGACTCCGAGTCCCTTTACACTCACGAGAGCGAGTCGGACTCCTCCTGTGCCGCAGAGGACTGCGCGCCCGGCGGTTTGGAAGTCGAAGCCAGAGTGTCAAATTTGGCCTTGGACCTGATGCAGGTGTCTGGTTGTACGTCTTCCTCTCATGCAGAGTTGGATTCAGACTTTGAAGGGTGTGTTCGGAGCCCTGTGGGAGCCTCTGAATCCAGCCCAGAGAATGCGTCCCAGCACGCCTTTGGTGTGGTGGACACGTGGGATGTTGACGCGGTTTTGGGCGGCCTGAGAGGACGAGTCACACAGCTGCCGAAGCTCTTTGTTTCACCTTTCTTTAGAGATATGATCAACCAGACTCTGAACTGGGAGAGCAGCCCGCCTGTCAATGAAGGACTCATATTTCATCACGTGAGACAATTACATTCACCCATTGTAACGTACAAACACCAGACACTGCACACACTGTGCACACTGTGCACTTTTATTTTATTTGCTAGACGATTACATGGGGAGTTGTATTTCTGGTCTCCACCACCCACTGAGGGCGATATCCATCTCCTTGCTAAATGCTCCACTGTGTTCACCAGCAGAGAATGAGCAGAAACAAAAATAAAAATGTGGGTCTTAGAAACCAAAACAAAGCCCTCAAATATGCTAAAATGCTTCATAACTTTGATAGAACAACCTCTTCTCTATGCACAGTGAGTTGGTCAAATGTTTAATGCATTTTAATGCACTGACCGCTTCAGTTGCAGCAGTTATTTCTGCTTTGACTACTGAAACATCACCAAGCCAAAGGCTTTGTGTTGATTTGCTCTTCTTTTACCCTTTTGCATTCTTCAGCTTCTTCAGCCCAGCAGCTGTGAGTACAGGGAGGGAGAGGAGTACTGCGTCCTTCGCCGCATACAGAGCGGGTCCTACGGGGACGTCTTCTGTGTCAGGGACAAAAGGACAAGATTCAAATGTGCTGCCAAGAGGGTAAGCCAAGAAAGAGTCATTCATTTATATTAAAAAGAATAAACACAGAATCCAGATGTGCCCCTCCCAAAGTCTCCTGCTCCCCAAAGTCACATCGCTGTCCGCTGATCTCAGATCCCGGCGAGTCACTTCAGCAGTGAGGAGGTGAGCACGTGGAGCGCTCTCAACTCTCCTCGCGTGGTGGAGCTCTTTGGGGCTGTGAGGGAGGGACCCAACATTGTGCTCTTCATGGACTTGAAGCCTGGTAAACGCCTCTTCGGTCTCCACAACAAATAAAACAAATGACCTATATGTTGTGGACAGTATTGTATTGTCAGTATTGACTTCGACTTAAAAATAATGGTTTTGTCCAAAACTTCTACAGCATGTTTGGCCCAGCTCCTGAAAGACATGAGCTCCCTTCCTGAGGACTTGGCCCTGCACTACTTCCACCAGTCACTGGGGGCCCTGGAGCACCTGCACCACAGAAAGGTCCTGCACCTGGATGTCAAAGGTATGTTCCTGACCCTAAGCCTCCAAAAAAGCAACAACTCACCCTTTCAACAGAACAGCACCTCTCTGACCTTCTAGTTACCATCCTGAAATTGTATAAAAGGAGAGACGGCGCTTTTCTGCAGGTTCCCAATAGGAGGCGGTGGGTCAAATGTATCCAATTGGGACCAGACCCCCGTCTTTGTCATTTAATCCAGGAAGTCGTCTCATCTTTGTTATTTTGCTGTGTGAATATGACAACTGTGACACATAAGTAAGATTTCAGTGAAAACTCCAAGTTTTCTCCAAAATGTTTTACTCACTTTGGGCAAAGACCAAAACCCAAATAAGCGAGAATATTGGATGTATATTTGTGAGAAACGCATCTACGAGCGAATGAAACTTTTGCTCCGCATTTGCTGGACAAGAAGAATGTTGCAAACTTTATTAGATGGGAATATGTAATATTTCTGAGTTATAGTTGTCCAGTTTGTTAATCCGACTGCTGTGTAGTCATGAAAACATGTTCTACACATTCAGCTGTTCTGTAAAACTAGATGGTAGTTTTATTGTGAGACCGGCAGTAGCAGTGTTTGATAATTCAGCAGCGGTAAAAGGATGGAGCCCAGTAAAGCCGATGGCTCCACTGTCACCCCCCCACACCCCCTTTCCCTCGGTGTCAACATTGAATCCTGGAGTGACTCACCCCTAAACCCTCGGTAATCCCCGGCTGAGAGGATTAAAGGGGAAGGGGCTCACTATGACATCCCATCGACCCGTCTCACTGAATCCGAGTCAGAGCTCCATGAAGAAGACAACGTTCCTTACACCCCCCCCCCCCTCCTCCGCCTTCCCACCGGCCTCCAGATTCCTCCTCCGAGTGTGTCCCGGTTGAGCATGTGATGATATCAAGCTGCTTCCCACTGAAACTTGCCTGTTGACTTTATTCCAGTTGACAACATGCTGCTGTCGGCAGACTGCCGGGACACGTTCCTCTGTGACTTTGGTCTCTCGGAGACGTTGGACGACAGCGGAAGGAGCTTCAGCGCCTTCAGAGGTGAGTGCGACGGATTGGAAATACTAAATAAACACGTCCTTCAACAGCACTTTCCCCTACGGTCGCGATAACAATGTATGACGTGATCTCAATGACGATTATCGATCGATCCAGGAGCCGCCTTCCCCGGCACGGAGAGCCACATGGCCCCCGAGGTGGCCCGGGGGGATCCACTGTCCGCCAAGGCGGACGTGTGGAGCAGCTGCTGCATGCTGCTGCACATGCTCAACGGATGCCCCCCGTGGACACGATACTACTCCCCCCCACTTTGTCTGCAGGTGAGAGTCTTCTCCCCCTCCCCACTCCGAAGAAGTGACGCTGTCGCCCTCGGACCCGCACTGATGTTTTCTCTCCCCTGTGTCGGTCAGATCGTCAACCAGCCGGCTCCTCTGTGGGAGGTGCCGTCCAACTGCAACAACTTCACGGCCAAAGTGTTCCGGGCCGGACTCCAGAAGGACCCCGACAGACGGGCATCGGCCAAGGAGCTCCGGAGGAAAAGCACCAAAGCCCTCCGAGCCGGTCGGTGTGGCTACATCTACATCTGACCACCAAATGGTTGTTTGCCCGTCTTTCTCCTGACAACCAGAAAAACCGACTGTGCAGAAAAACAAAACAAAGCCTCTTAGAGGAGGAACCAATATTCAGGAATACAGGAACATACTGCAAAATTCTTGAAAAGGGCTCAACGACCGGAACAGAAAACCCAGACAACTATATAACAGCAATGTTCATGGCATCATATTAAATACATGGACTATCATCAACATCATACAAGTTCTTAAAAGAGCAGGGAAATGAATGAGTGAGGCCGGTAAAATAAATAAAATAAAAGCATTATTTTCCAACACATTATGCAAATAGGTGGAGCCATTGCAATGTGCCGCACTTGTTAAAAAATAGACTGCACAAATTTAGTAACAGGATAATTAGAAATACCCCGAAAAGACACAGCGAGACATCTGACATCAGCCCCAAATTAAAGTGAAGCACACATAGCTGTGTGTCCTCAACAGGAAAACTGAAAGACGCCCCAGTGCAGTAAATGACATGGTACAGGGAAAGTACCGTGTACACTGTGACAGCCAAAAATGATCAATTGCAAGTTCCTTACTGTTGTTGTAACATTATCTAAATCATTGAGGACCGTACGTTTCCTCCACAGTTGGGGGTCTGAGCGCCTGGTCCGTCAAAAGCGCCCGCAATAATCTGCGGAATGACGGGAGCCAGGATGAGGACAGCGTCTGTCCTTCTACACCCGGGATCAACCCGACCACAACCCCGGCCCCAATATACTGGGTGAGTCCCTGGAGGACCACAGCGGTGGAAGAGGACGGCAGCGACCGGAGAGACGGTGACTCGGTCCAAGACTCTGAGGCGGAGATGGACTTCTTAACCGGGGAATGGGAGTCCTGGCCAAAACCGCTGCAGGACGATTACAGAGAGGACTGGCACTCCGACTCCGATTCAGAGGTGGATATCTACATGGCAGAGGAGGAACACCTGCAGAGAAAGTGGTTGAAAAGTGAAAGGGACTACGAGGGCGATTGGGAGGAGGAAAGAGCGGAGGAGGAGGAAGAAGAAGAGGAGGAGGAGGAGTGGGACTCCTTCATGTCCACAGAGTATCTTCGTGCTCTCAGAGGCATTTTCCCTCTGCTGCAGAAAGGCCAGCAGACAAATGAAGACTCGTGGGGATCAGAGCCAGAGCTGGAAAACCTCCGAGAAGGTGAGTCACATTCTGGTAGCGGCTGAGTGGGTCATGTTACTACATTGCATATTCAAACATAACATTTAATAAAACATAAATAATAATGTGAGTGGTGATATCTACTCTTTCACTTGGGTCCTCTACTGTGGTGTCTTCAACATGTCGGTCATGTGACTAAACTTCTCACACTCTGAACCAGAAAAATCCTTCAGGGCTTCTTACATCCTTCAAACGTTACAGCTTCATTCCTCTCTAGATTCTGGAGGTTCTAAAGAAAAGTTTTTTCAAATATTATTCAGACTCCGTTATACAACTCTCAAAAGTCAACTACAATGTTCACAGTTGTGGGAATCATTCATCCTGGGTTTTTATGGGTTTGTGGGTATGGAGATCCACATATTGAGCCTTCAAAACAAAAATAGTTGTTTGTTTTAAGGAAGTTTCCCCTGAAATCGGACTCTTAGCCCGACATGAGGAGAACCCAAGGAGGACACGTCTGTCTCCAGAGCATGGCTGGATTGAAAGCACACCTGAGACCGGTCAGACACCTGCTGCCGTCCCTCAGCAGGATGGACAGAGCGAGACAACTAACATGTTGTCTCTGACTAGAGGCCGTGATCGGCACCGCCATCCAGACCCCGTCCCCCGAGCCCCGAGACGACCCCCCCTCCTGCTTCAGCTGCTCGGACACATCGCAGATGGACGCCTCAGACAAGGTGTGTGTGTGCGCGCCCCATGGAGGTGTGGGTTTGTCTATACTTTGAAGGTGTGTGTGTATATGGAGGTGTGTTTTTATGGGTTGAATACAAAGAAGAAGTGAACGTCTCCTCTCCTTTCGAAGGAGTCCGATCGCTCCTCTGATGATCTGAGCTCTGGAGTCTTCTCCTCCTGCAACAGCCGGACAGAAGGACATCTGGAGTGGTCGGCCTCGGCCAATCAGCCGTCTTCCTACTGCTTTGAAGGTGAGGAGGCCGGACTGTCACCGCTCGGATACAAACCCCCGTGGACCTCCGTGTTTTATTATTGTCACTCGCTGCTCCAGGTGTTGACATCTGGATCGAGAACGTCCAAGGCGAGTGTCTGAGGATCCGGGAGCGTCGGCAGGTCAAAGTGGGGCACGTCGCCATTGGGATCAGCGAGCAGGTGAGAGGCAGCGCAGGTCTGAGTGATGGTCTGAGTGATGGTCTGAGGAGGAGAGCCTCCCTGATCCTGAGGCATGTCCGTGTGTGTTGATAAACAGTCACAAACATGCAGCCCGAAGATTGTTGTTCTAGTTCATAAAGTACGTCTTGTATGATGTCAAGAGTTGATTTAAATTATTAAAAAGCATTGGATGCATTTGTTTTTATTTGTAATATTAACATATAAGTACAAATACTTTCAAAGTACTAGAAAGAAGCCAACATCTGACCCGTTTGGGCTCGGAGGTTCGATTCCCAAAGTGTCCTCTGTCATCGTCAGGTCTCGGGGAAGGCCTTCACCCTGGAGACTCTGGACAGGAAGGCCGTGTCCTTCGAGCTGGAGATCAGGGAGTCCTGCCTGTGGCTGCGCTGCGTCCCCGCTCCGGACCGCTGTCAGAGCTGGAGGTGGAGGGTCACGGACGGCAAGCTGGAACTCCGGGAATGAGACTTCGTTGACCTGTTTATTGTCTCCGCACTGATTTAGTCATCGATCACAACAACACGTGTAGATGCGCTGCTGATGTGACCGACAGTGTAAACATAAGTATTCATGGGTCATTTAATGTCCTTCTGTAACCGCCTGATCCGGCACCACGATGCATCGGGTCTCTGTGAAGACTCAGGTGCATGCTGGGTAGGGGACTCTCTTCCCTGTTTATGTGTGTTTGCGTGTTTGTGTGTGTATATACATAATTTGTATTTATATTTATATAAAGTAGGACAGCTGGTGCTTCTTGTTGAGTTTATGAGTTGGGATTTAATCAGTCAGATTTTTTTTTTTAATTTAAAGCCGACTTTCTGCCATTTTCAAAGGATATCTTTCCTCTTTGTTACTTTCCCTTCAGTTTCCTTTGTAATCTGGAAAAGTCTGTCATGTTGCCCTTTTATAACGAGTGAAGCTGCTTAACTCTGAGTTACTGTAGTGACACATGAGCCCTTCAGACATTAATAACTTAAGTTATACTTAATAAAAACCAGAACATTTATTAAAAACTATGACCTCAGCGGTTTGTTCTTCGGCCTTTGACCTCCAAGCTGATGAAACCGGCGTAGAACGAAGATCAGGCCGACCGACGTTAACGACGCCAATAAGCACAGTTCATGTGACCGCATCACGTGTGAAAGATCACAGGATTCAGGCGTCTGAACTCTTAGTACGGAGGCAATTACTGTAATAATTTGGAGTTATTTCCATGTCTGGAGTTTGTTTAGTTAATTTAGGAAACTGAAGATTGCTTATAGTCAACAGTTAAAAACATTTAATAGGTATTTAATCTGCTGATTCCATTGATATTGTATTTAAACTCTGCCATGTTTGGACTGAACTTTAAAACAACGCTCACAGGAAATACTGTTAATAAAATGCTTAAGAGTGTCTTTTTTTGATACAGATTTGATTACCAGGAAACCTTTTTGACCAGACACTGTCAAAGTATTTCTGAAACTCAAACTTGTTTTTTCCTTTGAGGAATGTGGAGGTCAAACCTCTGCACCTAGTTAATATTTGAACGGGGCCCGCCTTCTTTTAACAACACCCACTGACGTGTTTTATTCTCATTTCCTCCTCATGGCCTCAACATTTGTCCAGCTCGCAATGCTAATTATTCATGTGAGGGTTAGGACCCTTCTGACCCGACACCACGAACCCACAGAAGCCTGATGGACGGATCCGGTGTCTCCGACCAGCTGGTTTGTCTTTGCCTCTCGGCAGGTGTTCAGTAGCTCAAATATTGCAATGTGTCAACACAAAACACAATGGAGGGCTCACTCCTACTTTGAAACGGCTCACTGGACAAGAAGAAAGAAAGGGCTCCTTTTAGTTGTTCGATAAGCGTTTAAAGTCAAGTTAATTTTAATTATGCAGCCAAATGTCACAAATTAGCAGCCTCCAGGTCACCCTTTAAGTGAGGAATGGGAGATTTAGTAGTGTAAAACAAACAAAATTTACTTTTGGTATGTAATACAGCAAAAAGTACATTATGTACCACTGAGATGTATACAGTAACAAGTACTTTGGAGATGTAGTGGAAGTAAATAGTAGCATAAAAGCACTTAAGTAACATCCTTGGTTACATCACACCGCTGTCGTAAAGGAGTTAGACAAGCAAAACCTTAAACTAAGGAACATACTAAACAGTGAAAACCATTTCTTTACAGCGCTGCGTGGCTTCTTGCAGGGACACATTGTCCCCTTGAGGGAAAAAATTAACTATTGACCTATGGGGCCTCAGATTACCTGTGTACACATACCTATAGATCAGGATGTTTCTCAGTTAAATTCAACACAGCGAGGCACACTACGATGTATTTGCTGTATTGTTGACACGAGGACACAAAGAAAACCGACTCAGTCTCGCCGATAGCCCTTGAATATTGCATCTTGTTGTCCACCGTATCTGAAACTGGAGAGCATTTGAGAGCGGACTACTTCCTCGACATTTTGTGCAGCGAGACCGACCAACGTCGTGATTGGACAGCGGGACAACAGTGGGCGGGTCTTCAGCCGCACCATCTGCGCTGTGATTGGAGCGGGGTTAGATAGTGGGAAGTGCCCCGTACGCCGGTGTCTCCCTGGCTGCGCAAGACGCCATTTTGGAGTGACAGTGAAAGATAACGGAAAGATCGAGAAGCTGTCTTTCTAAAGGTAATAACCCGCACAAACGCGCCGTTTCTCGGCCAAAAATGCTATGCTGTGTGGACCAAATGTCGCGCGGTGCGAAGGGCCCGCTTTCGCTGGCGATTAACCCTGACATCCCGACGCTCCATCGTAACTGTGACGCGGCACTTAGCTAACGACAGGTACTTGTTAGCCACCGCGCTAAAGCAGCTCCAGTTACCCGACGAATCAAAGAGGTTGTCATTGACGCTTTTAACGAAACACCGGACCTAAAACCCCCCTCACGGGCTTCCCCAACGTGTCGACGGTAGATGTGTCGGGAACGTTTCGCCGTGCGGTTTTAAACGGCGGTGCTCTGTCGACCGATAGCCTACGCGGAATTTGTGTCGCTGGCGTGAGATGCAAGCGCACACAAGCTAGTGAGCTAACGAGCCGAAGCATCCGCCCTTCGGCGAGCTCGCGTTGACCTGCTCCCGGTGTTCGTAACCACTGTACGCTACCTAACTGATATAATAAACGCACACTCCCACACTCGTTTTACTCTACATTCTCCCCGCGATGTCTCGTACATAGCTGGACTGTCGGCCTTTCGTTAAGGTCGAGGTGTTGTTAGCGAGCTAGCGCCTAGCAACGGCTAACGCCATCCCTACACAGGGAGAGTCCGCCAGCTGGAACAGGCCTTTCTTATCTGGTGATCAGCCAGCTAGCTATCCGGTTTATCCGGGTTGACAACGTAGCCGCTCCTGGACGTGTGATTTTTATTTTAGCGTGTACGCAGTGTGGAAATGTGCGACGTTTGAAGCCATGCAGGGGGATGTTAGTTAGCGCTAAGGCTAGCGTAACATGTTGTAAGCGTATAACGTTATCCGTAAGGTTGAACCTTCAGTAAACATCTCGTTTGTGTTCCTACCATGTTGGATTCCGTGTGTCCTTCTTTAGATTCAACGAAAAGGCCTTCTATTCTACCGGACATATTGCTGTCATCAACCAGTAGTATTCAGATGCTCGCGTGAACGTAACACCACTACAGTTACAATAAATACGTAGTTCGGAGGCCTGCATTCAATATCTTCCTTGTCCAGAGGCATAGAAACATCCCGCGAGCAACAGGAGTTAAATAACTCGCTGTAGACGACTTAAACATATTTATACAACGTTACTACTTGATGTAACCTATTGATCAGTGAGTGCAAATACTAATGGTCGATTACTTAATTACGTTGTAACTGAAGTACTTATTGCACCACTGTCATGTTGTTTTGACATTGGTGTAATGTTGACTAAGTGTATTTGTGCCATTTTAATAACTATCAATGAGGAAGAAAAAGAATTTCGTACCTCTCAACAGTATTCGTATCTGCTGTGCAATTTTACATTTTTTCTCTATTGCGTTTGTGTGTGTTGGTGTATATATAAATGCTGCTGTAGGGAATACATGTTCCCATTCCAAATGAGTAAATAATCTATCCACCCTCGTGTCTGTCATTGATCTTGATGGTAACGTTTCCTCTTTGCCTCGTCTACCCTGAGACGCTGCAGACGCTCCTCTCCTAACCCTGTTTCCTTCTCTACTTTGACAGCTTCGTCACCATGGGGAATGTATTCACAAGCTTATTCAAAGGCCTGTTTGGCAAAAAAGAGATGAGGATTCTCATGGTTGGGCTCGATGCTGCTGGAAAAACCACCATCCTATATAAACTGAAGCTTGGAGAGATAGTCACTACCATTCCCACCATTGGTACGGATATCTTATTATTGTTTAAATCCAGTTTGTTCACTGTCGAGTGGCTTTTTTGTCAGCTGGTTGTGAATAGTGCTTGCTACTCTCTGATTAATTTGGATACCATTTTCAGTATGGTATTCTAGATTTGGACTCATACTAAGACATCCCTATTTACAACACTTCACTAAGAAAATGTAAAGATGTTTTTACACAATCAGCTCGACAAGAAATAAGCATGAATGAAACCCATTGAAACATGATCATTGATACAGCCTTGTCGAACTAGAGGTCTAAATCATCCTATTTTCTATTTAATTTATATGAATTTCATATTTGGCCACTCATCTGTGTTTCTCCTTTTGTCCAGGTTTTAATGTTGAAACTGTAGAATACAAGAACATCAGCTTCACAGTGTGGGATGTGGGCGGTCAGGACAAAATCAGGCCGCTGTGGCGCCACTACTTCCAGAACACTCAAGGTGAGTTTGTGTGTATGGGTGTGGGTGGGAGGGGGGCTGCTGTGTTTGAGCCTGCAGCAGTGTCAGTGAACATAACTGCCTATAGGTGGCCTCATCGGTGCATAAACAATGATCTCAAAATTAGTCAACCGGTGACTCAGGCACCATTGTTCAAATTGCAAAGGGCTTCTTGTGTGACTCCTCTCCAGTTTCCTGAAATTGAATTCATCAGATTGTGTGAAGACACTGTCGGGTGTTTCCTGCTAATGATGCAACACGCGGCTAAATCCCCAGCCAAACTAGTCTTCTGTGCTAGTATTTAAAATAATTTGTCCGTTGTGGTTTCAGCCTCTCCCCTTAGACGCTTTTTAGCTTCAGCTTTTCGTTTTTATTCCCTCACCAAACATCCAGCTGCGGCAAACACCCCCATCCACACGTTGAGCATCCAAGTGTGAAATTGAACGTGTGAATCCATCTCTTTGGTGTTGACAATTGGGTACAGCTCCATTTAAGCACAGTGCATGTGGTACTTGAATATATTGGTTTCCTCCGCATGTAAAAATGTCAACGCTTGGCTTCCAGGATTTTTAAGCAGACTCAGTGAAATATCACATGGTCTACTTTAGATTTCACAACAATGTCAGCGGTTACTTATATCTTCAATAAAAGAATCGAAAGTGAAAAATCCCTTTGTTTGAACTGCTAAATCATAATTATCTGGGATTGGGGTTGTTTTAGCGGCTCGAGCTAAAAGGAAAAATTAATCCTATACAAACCACCAGCAGATACCAGGCTCCTTCCAGAAGCAGCTGGACTTCTGACACTCGCAGAATAATTCTGATGCTTGTTGTTCACTTGCAGTTTTGAGAATAAAGACCTTAAATAGTAGTGTACTACTGTTTGTTAGTCTGATACCGCACAGATCGTGATGCTCTCTGTGGGGATCGGCCTGTTTTGAACTCAACACACAGTAATCCTGCCTTGATGCTGGTGTTGACTTTACACCGGCTGCTCCTGGTCATGTGACAACATTTGCTTTAACAATAGCTCGTCCATCTAGTAAACCAGCAGGAAAGAGGAAACACTCACGAACTAGTTAGCGTGATCTGGATTCAGCAGATCTTCTTCACCTTACTAACTGCTAACACTAACTACCAACAGTATCTCCCAACATCTAAGAAAAGTGTCCCTACAAAGCATAAAGTGTGTCTGCTTGTGTCTTACATCGTCTATAAGAGTTTAGAGTTTCTGGCAGACCCGTAGTTACCATGTGACTTTATTTTGAATTGACTGTTTTCTGCACTCGATACCTCAAAAGAGTTTTGGCAGTGAAAATATTCAAATATTGTCAGGATGTACCTCAAATGATTTTTGGTTAATGAGGTAATTTCTACAACAGTATCCTCCAGTTTCTGGTTGCACTTCCATATTTCTTTTATTTTTTACTTGTTACTTAGCAGGAACAATTTGTTCAGAATAAAATAAATCAAGGGAATAAAGCGACGCCATGTTTTAATCGGCAAGAACAAAAAAAAACACTTTAGAGCCACAAAGAAAATGTATTACTCAAATACAGAAATATATATCCACATATTTATTGTTTTTTTTGCATGCAGGGCTCATCTTTGTGGTGGACAGCAATGACAGGGAGCGAGTGAACGAGGCGAGGGAGGAGTTGTCCAGAATGCTTGCTGAGGACGAACTCAGAGACGCCGTGCTGCTCGTTTTTGCAAATAAACAGGTGAGGTCCACTTTTGTCTAACGTCTATACAATCACTGAGAATCTGTTGTGCCTCACGTGGAGAGATCGATGTTCAGGTAGGTCTGTACAAGAGTTGTTCCGGTTTCGGAAGTGACTCTTATAACAGCCAAATTCGCCGGATCACATATCGGCAAGTATGCGAGTCTGATGTCATGTTGTATAATTCATCAGCTCATTCATGCTACCCGATCTCTACTGAGCATGTGCAGCCCAGCACTATACACTATTATATGCGCCATCTTCTAACTACAAAACTGTTCAAATCGAGATTGAGCTAACATTTGCTGCACTCTGATGCGTTCAAGCTCCACTCAGCAAAACCGAGTGTCGGATATACTACGTCATTATGTGTTCAAATGGAACCTAGTGAAATGTAGTTTACGGATCGTTTCAAGATGTTCACACGGCAACGTGAAATAAATATCAAAGATAAATTCTGAGCTTGATCAGTCTATGCGGGCAACATCGTGACCCCCCCGTCTTCTCCTCCTCCCAGGATCTCCCCAACGCTATGAACGCTGCAGAGATCACAGATAAGCTCGGCCTGCACGCCCTCCGCCAGCGCAACTGGTACATCCAGGCCACCTGCGCCACCAGCGGGGACGGCCTGTACGAGGGCCTCGACTGGCTCTCCAACCAGCTGAAGAACCAGAAATGATCCATTCCAACTTTTTTTTTTTTTTTTTTTTGAAGTATCTTTTTGTTTTGTTTGTTGTTTATTTTTTTCTGTTTCAATACAACGGCAGCACCGGACCCAGGCCCCCCCACCACCACCCCCCATCTAACCCCTGCCTCATCTTCATCTCCAGGTCTTTCTTTCAAGAACTTCCTTCATGCCCCCCCTCCTCCCTCTGCGCCCTCTCTCCCTCCTGCTTTCTGCCCTCGTTAGTACCCTGGGGGCTGTAGCCTGTGCTGCTTGTGTGTGTGTTTGTGGGCGCGCGTGTGTGTGTGTACCCTGTGTGTTCAGCGTGCGTGCGTGCGTGCGTGCGTGCGTGTGTGTGTGTGTGTGTGCGTGTGTGTGTGTGTGAAGGCGTCTCTGTGTATGTTGGCTGGGATTGGGAGTAACCTGGCGTGCCTTTTACACACCTCCTGTGGAATCAGCAGTCTGGTTTTTGAGCCCCTATCTCCATCCACCAAACTCAGCCTCTGCCTCACGCAGAACCCCCCGTCTCCCTCCCCAAGTCTTGGACGCCCACCCCCACCCCGCACCTCCTCCACCTTTACTCTCCAGGGGAAAGCATGGTTTTTCATACGGCAAAAAAAGAGCAAGGGTGCAAGCTCCCTCCCCGCCTCCCTCCCTGTAGTATAAATATATCTACCTTAACTAGACAATGTTCACCTGATGTAGACTGAATGCTAAATGTTCATTTTAAACCTCCTTTTTTTTATTTTGAAACCTCAAATCCACCAGTAAGAGATTCAGCAAATTGCATCTTAACCTGTATCAGGTCGAAGCAAATAAAAAAAAAAGGACAAATAACCCTCCACAACAACGACAACTACAACAACAACCTGCCCATCCTCGATCATTCTGGTGTCATTTGAAAATCATGCTGTTTGTTTTATTATTATTATTATTATTATATTGGAATATAACAGATTATTCTTAGCAATGGCTCTCCATTGAACGCTACCTTTATCTCTCTCTCCTCCCCCCTCCCCGAGCCCCCAGCAGGTGAGACTGTGAAGCACAAAGCAAGCCAACTATTAAAAATTAATGAAACTAGAATCATAGAGTACATACGTAATTCTTTTGGGGTAGTTAACATTGAATTCTCTGGATTCAATTTTTCAAGTCAACCATCTGTACAATGAATCGGGAAATCAGGCGTGGGTTATTTCACAAAGCTTCACATGCTATTCCTTTAAGACATGTTACATGTGGTTGTTTTTTTTTTCTTCTTTTCTCTGTAACTAGTTTTAGCGTTTCTACTCGTACTTATCACTGCTGAACCAAATTCATTTCGAGCAGTAAGACAAATCCTGTACAAGAAGTAGTGAATCCCGGACGGGCCCGAGGAGGCCGCTCTTCTCACAAACGGTTTGGCAGTTTAACTTTTTCGAGATCTGGGGAAAAAAAGCATTCAGTTGTCGTGATGTTTTGGGGGTGAAAGTGAAGGAATTGGCACCAAATATGAAGGTTCTCTAACTGTGAACAACCCGGACCCGAGGGGGGGGGGGGGGGGGACTCGCTGCGGGGCACCGGGCGCTGACCGGCTACAACGCAGCGCTGCGTAACTTCGCGACTGAAAGAATCAAGGCGACGGGTCACCACCGACCCGGCGGTCTGAGGTGCGTGTCGAGGGCCTCGGCGGGCGTTCTCGGTGTCGGAGACCGAGGGGTGTGAAGATGGCACTTGTGTCGAGAATGATTGTAAATCTGTAACGTTCCCCTGTAAACTGTTTCTGTGGGGATTTCCTGAACACATTAATAAACATGATTTGATCCAACACTTCACCATCAAACGTGTGTTTTTACTCACTTAATTTACCAGTAACTTTCACAATGAATTGTTCTTTCCATTAGTGTGCTAACCCTTAGTTTATAAAAAGCTTTTTATTTATTAGGAGTCCCAAACTCCAAATATATTTACACTAAAATGCAAAAAAGTCTATTGCATATTAACATAAGTTAATAAACGTGTGGATGTGGAGTATCCAAGGGTGGTGGAAAAAATACTAAGTTAAAATGTAAAAGACAATTATTCAAAATAGTTATTTGAAAAACAAAGCAACATGAAAAGTGCAGTGCAGTATTTCACACTAATCTTTTATTCGGTCATTGCATAAATGTATTATTGTCTGTCTGTCACATTTTGTTTTAATAATCTGTATCTAGATGTAGATATGTTGTAGATGAATTTTAATGACAGGGTAATACATTTACCCCAGGTTTGAAGTACAGCAATAAGTAGGAAAAAATGAATACTCAAGTACCTCCAAAAATAGTTTGTTCTGGTAAGTTTCTAAATAAACTTTGAAAATAACTCATTGCAGGAATTGGTTCTAGATTCCCACTAGATTACCAGCAGGTTAATCATTATTATTATTATTATTAATGTTGACTCAATAAAAGCGTATTCACAGGTCTGTAAATATTTAACTGGCTCAACATAAACATGAAACTAATTACCGAACTCATTTTTTGACCGGATTGAACCAACTCAGCAACAAATATCTAAATATCTCTCTATAAACATAGTTCAGTAGTAGTATGTACCATATTTCTATATAGTTTAATACTAAGTCAAAGTCCTGCAGTCAAAATCTCACTTTAAGTATAAGCAAAGTATTGTACTATACTATAGTATAGTAAGCCCAAAAAATAAAGTGAACGCTTAAATGTATTAATAAATATTAATTAAATTAATTAGTATTAATATTCTTGCATTTGTTGATTTGCTTTGTATTGTTCCTCCTAAACAAATACCGTGAGTCTAATATATGCATGGAGTAAAAAGTACAACAAACTTATTAATATACACTGAGTACAGTACTTTTGAATATTTACTGAGTACACAAAAATAACATGTAGCCGGAAAGTGTACGCACGCACGCACGCACGCACGCTCATAATTCTGAACCCATTAACCCACACACACACACACAGGAGGAGGAGGAGGAGGGGTTTAGAGCGCACACCTGATAGACAGGCCCCGCCCACTTCTCCACTCAGGTAATAATAGTTGGCACGTCGGTAAGCGCGCGCACCCCGTTCTCGTTCACCACGCGTTAAAAACGGCAGAACCTCTCCCGGAATCATACGTCGAGGTCCCAGCTGAAACCCGCCGACGGAGCACACCGACATCACAGGTACGTTTGCTCGTCTCCCCCGGATGCCAGCGAAGTAGTTCCGGTAGACAGGTGCGGGCGCCGGTTTAACAGCGAAAACAAAGTTCGTAGCGCGAGACGGTGCAGCCGATGGCGACCGAATTTGTTTTTTTGTGTTCGTGTCAACCTGATATACGCGGTTTAATGTCGACGGAGCTTTATTGAGCAAATGAGAGTGAAGTTCATTCATTCTCTCTATGAGGTTTTGACGCTGCAACCAAGCGAAGGGTTTTAAGTTGTTTTTAAACAAGTGGGAGTTGCGCAGTTTACAGATATAACTTGGCCCAAGAGAGAGATGATAAACCAAAGTAATAACATTTAACACGACGTGTCAGGTTACTGTGGGTTAACTGTGATTTGAGCACAGATTGTATTAATCCTTCTGACGTGTCTGATAACAGGTGTCTGCTCAGCACGTGTAATATTTTGTCTCCTGCAGGAAGTTCCTTATCATTGGTCTACTAACAAACCCCATCCCTTGGTACAGATGGATGTTAACACCAAGTCAGATCACTCCGTTATTATTATTATTATGATAATAAGTTGTCGGACAACTTGCAGGTTAATGATAATTGTCAGAAAAATAAAAATAAAATCTCTCTTCACGTCGATCATTCCCGACTGAGGATTTGCTGCTTGTGTTTTTCTACGTGACCTTACACTAAATGTTTTTGGGCTACGGGTTTACAAAAAACAAACTATCTTGTTTGCAATGGATGGTAGTTTTTCCACAAATTTCTGACATTTGATGGACCTAATAACCAGACGAATACAAACTAATCAATAAGAATGCATTTATTTGGTCTCAATCAGGCAGAAATCACTTACGGCCGCATCTCATAACAGATCGCCAGACATCGCTATGACAACAACACGGTTGAGTCATACTTTCGTCTCTGAAAATAGACTTTGGATCACTGCCAGGAAGATATTACTAAACTGGAGACAGACACAAGGTGTGTCTGAATATTTAACATGATTGAAGGCTGTGACGGATAAACATGTATTTTAAATATTAAGGTATTTCTTTTATTGTGCTTGACCTGAAAAGATAATTTGTTGTTTTGTTTGTTAAACTTTGAAAGCCAAGTTTCTGGGACTCAAACCAAACGCTAGAAAAAAGTCTCTTACTCCCCCGCTTCTGCAGATAAATAATTTCAAACTTGTGTATTTACAAAATTTGATTCAGTAAAACACGTTGTTTCTCTAGTCTCTGATCATGCAAAATTGTAAGCCACCAATCTGTGTTTAGATCCGCAGGAGGACGAGCTAACTGCTCGCCAGCCTCATTGTAACTGTATTTCATCTGTAATATTTAGTTTTAGTGAGAAACTCTAATCCAGATGCTTTCAAATGGATACTGGAGATTAATTAATGCTGTAATCAAACCGTGCCGATCTGCTTTTGGAGGCTGCTGAAACCCGGACTCCCTCTCGCCACAATGGAGGTGGAAGACTCCTGGAAGGAAGCATTGGACGGCTCTGAGGAGACGTCCTGTGACGCTGAGGTGCTGCTGGGTAGCTCCGCCCAGAATCTCTCTCTGCTGCCACCATCTCCACCGGAGCCTGACGCTCCGCCCATCCGGCGCTCGCAGCCAATCGTCATCACCGTCAACAGGTATGTACGTACATACGGCCTTTTATTGTCCGACTCCCATAATAACACCCTCTAACGTCATGTTTGTATAGCGCCAAGTCTTCCAGTGCTTTTGCATACGAAAAGGAAAAGGGCTGAAGTACTGAAATAGAACTATTTTCAGCGAGGGCTGAATCCTTTTTGTGTGATTAAGAACAAACAAACAATCAATGTTGGTAGATAAATTCACTGACGGCCTTTCTGTCTTTTCCTCCAGGGCGAAGGGCGTGGATTCCCTCTCTTCCTCCGTACCGAATCCTTTCCCCGAGCTGTGCAGCCCCTCAAAGTCTCCGGTGCTCGTTGGTTCCTTTCCCCCCCCGACCAGCAACAAACACGTGAGCCTCAAAGTCTCAGTCTTGGTGTAAACAAATCGCACGCAAACAACAATTAATTCATCCTGTTGTCTGAGGAGCAAAATGCATATTCATCCGCCACTGAGAATAGTTACCTATAATGTGCTTTTTTAGTTTTATCGTCTCAAAGCGTGTTTTGTTGACTTCACGCCTGCCGTGTTAATCCCATCAGGCCCTCGGATAGCCGCTGGGCCTGATGTGTGAGAACCGGCAATCCCGTAAAGGAGACTCGACCTGTTTACCAACCTGTGGGGTGGAGTCGGGTGCTGACGGACGGGGAGGCTGCGTTGCCATGGCAACCCAACATGTCCGTAATTGCAGAAAAAGAATGTCTGTTGGTGTGACTCCGGCGGCGCTGTGCCGCGGCATTCCACAAGCCAGCATGGATCTTTAAAGACTCGCAGGTTTCCACTGAAGCTGTTCAGACTGTAGTTCTCTAAAAGGAGAACATCAATCTGCAACCATAGTGATGATGAAAGGAGTCGGATCAACGAGACAGGATCACCGACATCGTGGATTAGAGAAGTTTAAAGAGTTCCTAACTTATTTTACAGCTGCTCAAGAAACTTTGTTTACACACCAGAATTGTACTTTAATTGCCCCCCCCCCCGCCCCCCGCCGGTCGATACTTGCCTGGTGTCTTTGTCCCGATGACGTTTCTCATCCGACCGGTCGGTTACTCGCTGACTCACCGGTTTACTTTCTCTCTGAGGTGCCGTCATGATGCTAGATGACCTGAACCCGCCTAACCCCTTTAATCTCTCTCTGCAACAGACTGTGGAGCTTGGGCATGAGAGGGGGGGCTGGATGGGGGCTGGATGGGGGCTGGATGGGGGCTGGATGGGGGCTGGATGGGGGCTGGATGGGGGCTGGATGGGGGCTGGATGGGGGTTGGATGGGGGCTGGATGGGGGCTGGATGGGGGTTGGATGGTGGCTGGTGGGTTAACAAGCGTCTCTTTTAGCAGCGGAATCTTGGCGTCGCTCCTTGATTGCAGCTGTGAAGCACTCGCTGTGCATTCAGTTACTCAGATAACAAACCTTTTAACTTTTATTTATTAGAAAATACTTTTTGTGTCACAAAACTTTTTGTTCATTTTAATGACACAAACTACTGAATGTACTTTCATTAATACTAAACTTTTAGAGCCGATTAGGGATTATAAATAAGACAAAACCCCATTTTAAATTTTTTTTATTTTGCGGTAAGCTATAAGTTGTAGAAATATTTTTACGTACTTGTATAGTTTGCTACAGAAGCGTTCTAATCTGTCCTGTGGACCTTCACATCAGAGGAGGAAGAACTTTAACACAAAGAATGAACCATTTATGAAGAGCATCAGAGGAAGAAGCTCATATAAAAAAAGATGTGTACAAAATGATCTACAATCCAGCATTCCTAAATACAATTGCAAGTGCCTTCATTATGCCGCATGTGGTTTATAAATTCCCCTCCCATCAGCTGATCAAGGTGTTCGGCGAGGACAGCCACAGCCGGTCGGTGTGGGTGTCTCGAGGCGCTACGACCAGGGAGGTTTGTCACATGCTGGTCCAGTCGGCTCACTGCAGCGATCAGGAGAGCTGGGCCCTCCTAGAGGTCCACCCCACGCTGGGTCTAGGTAAGACTTTAGGACCAACAGAGAATCCTTTGCTATGTGCTGCTGCTGCTGCAAAAAAAAAAACGACTCCTGAAATATTCGGCTGTCCCTTTTTTTTTTTTTCTAGAGCGCTGTCTGGAGGACCACGAGGTCGTGCTGGAGGTTCAGGCCACCTGGGCACTCAAAAGTGACACCAGGTTCGTTTTCTGCAAAAACTACGCCAAGTACGAGTTCTTCAGGAAGCCGATGGTAGGCGGTCCGACTACACTACAGTCTTGCACACTTCTGCCTTTTAAGGGGTTCCTCATGTCACAAACCTTTTTGGGAAAGCCACGATTCTTGTGATTCAACATGTGCAAACTATTTGAGAATGCAATCACACAAGCTGCTAAAATGAAAAAACAACAAGAAATAACAAACCAATCCAATCAAATGTAGACAACTCTGAAGTTGCAGGAAGAAGTCTTAAGGCTGCATTTGCCCATGTGACCATTAGGGGCAACTCCTCTTGTCTTAGAAAATTACTCCTCTCTTGATTTACTCCCTCAGTCAACATGCGTTTATGGTCTTGATCTCTAGTTCTACGTCTTTGTCAATACAGCATGATGTTGATTTAGTAAGCTGTGGTCCAATTCGAGTCAAACAGGCCATAAAGCAGGAGATGCTTTAGGGCGGGGCTACATGCTGATTGACAAGTCTCTTCAATGCTGCCCTACTCTGCTCCTTTAGCATAGGAACCACTGGACAATCTATTACAAAAGGAAGGTAGAGAAGTCTGTCCCACAATTCCTTGCAGCATTATTTAAATGGTGACTTATCATTTGTCTGTTCACGAGAGAACGAAGATCATGTAAGTAACCGAACTCCGACGTTGACATAGTTAATAAAGTGATTATTTGAACCCGGTTTTATGTCGTTGTCACGAACCAGGCCGCAAGGCCGTGACAACAAACGGGGATACTACAAGTAGTCAAAGGGGTTTTATACCACTTTGGTGGTATGTGGAGTCAGTGGTGCGTGCGTGGAAGGTGTTTGTGTGTAATATTGTATAGTGTCAGGACAACCCATGCTCTTTACCGACAGTGTCTCAGGGCAGAGGGGGAGAGAGAGAGAGAGACACATCACCTGAGACCAGAGGGCCTTTTTTTAACAGCGTGCACTTGCACACAAAGCCCATGTGTTGCTAGTGCTGCTGATGTCCCTCTGCCACGCGCCCCTACAGGGACACCAGCCATGGCTCGGCCTGTAACAACACATGGACTAAGGCTACAATCTGAATGTGCTTCTTGTTGTTCATCTTCGGAGAATTTGTAGTTTTCCGGCTGCACACTGACGTCACTAACACGCCTCTCCAGTCGCCTCATAATTACATGGCGTAGTGAAAACAAAGTTGGATTCCCTAAAATCAGCTGCGTCTTTTCCTAAATCCTCATGCATTGTCCTACCCATCTGTCCTTAACCCCAATGACGTTATGATTATGACGTAATCCTAAGTAAATTCACCCGTCATTCATTTACATGCAAATGGCTTCAGCCAACACCTGTCTACCTGTTTCATAAGCGGGTGAGTTGATTGGCAGGTTGCGTGCTGCGGCGGATTACTCAACGCCTCCGGGTCTTTCTCGGTCGCGTCTGGTGCCTGACAGGACGTGATGGATTGCACAGAGAACCGGTTTTGATGCTCCGCCAACCGCTGTGTCTACAGTCGGTATCTAATAATATATATATATATTTTTTCAACAATTTGTTCTACAGGTTGAGGAACTCACTGAAACTTGTACACGCTCTCAAATCTGTTTGGTGGAAATTACCAATGAAATTCACCGTTATCAAGCAACCAACTGTGCTAAGAGGCTGGAAGAAGAGAATATTTGGCCTTTTCTTTTTTCCAGTAATGACAATTAATTAATTAAACCTCTGAATCTAGATTCTCTGGCTTGATTTTCACGGTTCCATAAATGTGTTTGGCACAATCAGGTCTATAGGCAATAAGAAATCATAAATGTCATTTGTGCAGAATATTGTGTGTGGGTGCAAACGTTTAAATTTCTTTAGCATATTTTACAAAGTGGCCAAAAGTTAAACATAATTATATTCCACCTCCCCTCCCAGGCCTTCTTCCCAGAGAGCATGATCTCCGACAGCGCTGACGACCGTAAAGGGATGACATCATCAGACCTCATCCAGGTGAGTCTCACTTGTAGCACGTGGACTCATCAGCAGATGTTATTGTTCCTTTTGAAAACGTATTTTAAACAATTATTTTTTTAGATTCCAACCTGAATATTTGATTTAGTTTTGTCTGGCAAATCCTCACACTTGATACAAGAATATATGACCGAATACTGCATTGCATCAACAATTTTAATTCATGTTTCTATAGTTAGGACTTAACTACTGTAATTTTGTAAAGTAAAGTAGTTTAAAAATAAATGTTTTTATATAAGCTTGAGTTAGTAAAATTTATTTGAACAAACTAAACTTTCAAATGATGAAACAAACCGTTGTTACCTCACTTCCAAATAAACTAGCAGCATTGTTTATTATCAGAATCTTAAGAGAATTTTAACAAAAAAATCCTTAAATGCACTGCTCCAAAAATTAAACCAACACATTGAAAATGCATCAGATCTCAATGCGAAAAAAATGATATGAACAGTTCTATTCCTTGGGCGCAAAGTATGCCACATCTTTTGCTGGAAATAATGTTTTCAGTCTACAGAGGGCTTAATTTTATAGATGTCGCGAACCAGTGAAACAAGGCCGTGGCAGGCCAGTCCATTTTGCCAAAATTCAGTTCGCAACTCAAAATGCTTCTCAATATCTGAGTGGCCCCCACGTGCTCGTATGGATGCTTGACCACGTCGCGGCCCTCTTCTAATGAGGCAACGGCTGGTGTCCTGTGGGATGTCCTCCCCAGATCAGTCTAAGTGAGCTCCTAAGTCTGAAGAGCAACCTGGTGGATCGAACAAAGTCCCCGAGGGTTGTTGTGGTCTGGTTTGGCCAAGTGATCGTGAGGGCCGTTCGGTTGTATCCGTTCCTTCATCTACCAGGTTCTGCCTGCGTACCCTTGCCACATGAGGCCTGTCATTGTCGTGCATCAAGAGGAACTGCGGTTGCAACGGAGCGGAACATTTCCGGAAATTTTCCATTGCAAGTTAAGCTTGGGGAATTGTGGACATTTTGAGCCATGTTATTACGGGGAACTTCAATGTAGTCTGAGAACAAGACTATGACGGCCTGGCTCTGCACAACCCCGAATGCAGCTAGTTGGGAACATTTCTGCCGAATGTTCTGCCTTTGAACGTCTTCATCATTCGCTGGCATATTGATCACTTGGTCAACTGTCGTGTTCATTTTGATGCCATGTTTATTTGTATACGGAAGGCTAGTTTATTATAGGGGCGTGAGTAGGGTGTCCACAAGCACACCACCATCAAAGTAATTACTGGAAATGAAAGGCTGGGCCTTAAAGTAATTCTAAACTATATTTAAAGATTTATGCAATGCAGCCGTTTCTTTGCAAAGGATGTCGCTGGCTATTGTAAACCAACTCTTTTCTTTCAACGCGACGTGATCAAATTCGTCAAATGAAAGTATTCCTCCATCACGTGTACTCTATAGCAAGGCTATTGAGGCCACACTATGAGCAAGGTAAATACAAAGAAATTACTAAAATGTTCAGTTGATTCCCAAGGTGGAATATTCCTGGAGGTTTTGCATCCCAAGGAGGAACCCAGGACCTGCCGCACCAGCGTACAGTCTGACCATCAGTTCAAGGATTTCATCCCGATACCTAATGGCAGTCAGACTGCCGTTCTCTAGCCTGTACAGGTCTGTGCGTCCCTCCATGGATACTCCTCCTCAGACCTTCACTGACACGCCACCAAACCGCTCATGCTGGACCACGTTGCAAGCAGCATAGCGTTCTCCATGGCTTCTCAAGACCCCTTCACGTCTATATCACAGCCGCTCGGGGTGAACTTGCTCTCCTCTGTGTAAAGCACAGGGCACCAGTGAGGAACATGCAAATCCTGGTTTGCGATGCAAACGGCGATGGAGCTCTGCCGTGATGAGCAGTGAGCACAGGGAACACTACAGGAGGACGTCCCCTGAGGACAGGCTCTTTAAGGCTTGGGCAGTGCTCAAATGGTTCCTCCATGCACAAAGCAGTGTATATATTGGTCCTGTTGATGGGTTGAGGACTTTCAACGGACCCATCCAGCTCTCCTACAGTAACCGCTTATCTCCTCCATGTTCTGGAGATTGAGCTGGGAGACCGATCAAATCTCCTTGCAACGGCACACGTAGAGGTGCCCTCCCGGAGGAGTTGGACAATCTAACTTCTGAAGGGTTAAGCAATCACCTCATGCTCACAGTGGTGACAATGACCAACACTGATGGAAAAACAGTTAGAGATCAAGAGGGAGAAACTTGACATGGCCTCCGCATGCAAAACCAGTCCCATTTTCAGGGTCGTCTCATAGTTGCCCCGCTGGTGCACCTGTTTATTCAACACCAATGGCGCTGAAACTGATTAAAACCACCTCTGCTGCATTCCTGACCAGATCATTATCAGAAGTGCAATTGAATTCGTGCCGTACCCTGATAAAAGATTGTTACTTTCATTTTTTTGAGCAGTGCATGTTGCATGTAGCTTTATTATGCCATATCTCAGAAATGCAAAGCTCTGTATTTAAAAAAATAAATTGTTCTTCTGATTCCGCAGAACCTGCTTGTGTCTGGGACCTGTCCAGAGATCCAGGGCTTCCTGCAGGTCAAAGAGCCCAGCCGTAAATCCTGGAAGAAGGTCTATTTCTTCCTCCGCCGCTCCGGACTCTACTGCTCCAATAAGGGCTCCTCCAAGGTCGGTGGGTGGAGTCCCGCTTTGAGGTCGCGCTGCGTTCTTTAAGCGTGATGTGAACGGCTGCGTGTTTTTCTTCCCACCAGGAGCCTCGACACCTGCAGTACGTCGCCGATCTGGACGACCTGAACGTTTTCACGGTGGTGAACGGCCGAAAACTGTACGGAGCGCCATCTGACTTCACCTTCAGCATCAAGGTAACGTCCCCGAGCACCAGTCTCTTATTCTCACAACTATCTAAAAACCTTTTTCAGAATATACATTTATTTCTGTGAAGAGTCTTTCATGTGTTTGTCCTCCTCACAATAAACTGAACCCTTGGGTTCTGTGTTTGTGCAGCCTACCAAAAATCCCCCCCGACTTCAGGACCTGAAGATCTTGAGTGCCGACAGCGAACAGACTCGAACGTGTTGGACATCGGCTTTCAGGCTCTTCAAGGTCTTTTTATTCTCCGGGTTCTCTCCTCAGCTTTAACGAGTGGGCCGATCATCTATAATGTTTAAAAGGCCTCTTTGTCGTTATCAGTACGGGAAGCAGCTCCAGTCCAATTACCAGCTGTCAAAGGTGCCTCCGCAAAAGCCGGAAGGAGCCAAGGATGTGAAAGTGAGCTTTTCCTTCAGGTGACGTTAGTTCTGAAGCGACAAGCCACATTTGAACTCTCGTTTGTCTCTGAACGCAGGCAAAGTCGGAGGCCAGTCTGGTGGCCATGGACTTCTCTGGGAAGACCGGAGGACGGGTCATCCAGAACCCTGCGGAGGCCCAGAGCGCTGAGAGGGAGGAGGGACAAGCCTGGAGGGTGAGGATGGATGGATGGATGGATCTCTGGCTAAATTAATGCTCATGAGAATAGAGACATGGGTCCTCCTTAAAGTGAAGGACTAAACCTTCGTGACGTTTGTGCTTCTCTTCCAGAGAAGAGAAGCTCTGAGGAGCAGTCTGCCTAACCTAAACTCTGCAGCCAAACCCTCCAGTAAGTCCATCAGTGAGGAAACGGGAAGTCCTCCTGGACTATATCCGTGCGCTCCTCACGTCCTGAGACTAGGAGCTGCGCTTATTTATGTTTGAGGTGGAATTTGTTCATGAAGGATCTTTCATCCCTTTAATGCTCCTCGAGGAGGCCTAAGAGAGGGAAACACTGCGTCCTTTTGAAGTTTTCTGGCACTTTAGATAAATAAAAGGCACTGCTTCTACCACGGCATCCAACCGCCAGTTCTAAAAAATTACGCTTCGTGTGTGTGAAAGCTGCCTTCTCTCTCGTTTTAGAGACTGCAGCTTTGACACGTCCTCTTTCAAACGTCACGGGTCCCCAAAAAAAAGCCTTCCTCAAAGCATGAGCCTCCTCGATATGCATTTAGGGAATTGAGACTTCCTTAACAACTGAGTAAGCAGAAAAAGAGAGGCGCGTGGTGTCCTAGCCGGCCTCCTCACACTCGCCCTCTTGTGTTTGTTCGTTAGCGGCCATCCACAAGTCCCAGCCCTGGTTTCATGGTCGCGTGTCCCGGAAGGAGACTCAGAGGCTCATAGAGAAGCAGGGCCTCGTGGACGGGTGAGTGGAAGGCTGACTGAAGCGTCCGTTTTCATCAACCGTTCAGTTCCTTGTTCCTAGTGTGGGTTTGGTGTTTAGGATGTTCCTGATCCGCGAGAGCCAGCAGCACGCCAAGTGCTTTGTCCTCTCGCTGTGCTACAAGCTGAAGACCAAACATTACCTGGTGATCCCTGTGAGTTAAAATGCAGAAATAGAAATGAGGAGAAATAAGCCCCTCCCATTTTACCGTGCGTGCTAATGGTGATTGTGTGTCGCAGTGCGAGGACGACGGCCGGAGGTACTACACCATGGACGACGGCGTGACCCTCTTCATCGACCTGCTGCAGCTGGTGGAGTTCCACCAAATTAACAAGGGCATCCTGCCCGTCTGCCTCAAGCACCCCTGCGTCTGTGTGGCGCTGTGATCCCCTCCACCAATCGGTCACCCTCATCCCGAACATGTGATCGAAGAAGCTGAGCTGATGAAGGACTGTGAGGAAGATGTTGAGGCTTTGTGAGACGTGGCTGCGGGCGGGGGAGGGTTTACCTCCTCCTCCCCTCTTAAGTATTTTAATTTTTTATGTTTTAACCAGCGACGCCTCATTGGCCTGTCTCCGTGGCAACTGCTGAATCAAGCGCATGAGTAGTGCCCTTTGATCCGGATCCACTTTGATCTAAATGTTCTTTTCACTGAGCGACTGAGGCCACCAGAGGGCGCTCGGACCCAATCTCCTCCTCCATCCCCCTCCCCCTCCCTGGAGAAGACTTGAACACATGTGCTTTTGATATTTTCCATGGATGTTATAACTGTGAACCCATGATGCGATCATGTAGCGGAGCTCCTTAACCTTTCTCGTTTGTAACTGGAGTGGATTCAGGACGCTCTCATCGCTGTATTTGCACAACGATCTGCGTTTTGTAATGTTTAATCAACCGAATGTATTAATGCAGACAGGCTTTTTATGAGGATCTATTTTTACTTTTGTTTTATTGAGGAAGACCTAGGATCTGGTTAAACTTTTTGGTAACACTATTTTACAGGCCTGTTTTCCTGCTGATTTACAAAGGGAAAGTCAACAATTACAAATATTAATTAAAACCAAATGACGCATTTAATTCTTTGGAACTTTATAATTGTGTTTCTGACATTTTTGTTAATGGTTTTTTTTCTTTTACTTTGATTACTTGCACTGTTTGCCTTTTATCATGAGATGGTATGAGTATGTCTTTTATTTTTTTTATTTGGGTTTGTTAGTGTAATACATTTGAAATTATTTTGTGGGCATTTCCTGACCCGCTTTTATATTTTTGAATAAACCGTTTCATATTAAACCTTGTCTGTGTGAAGTCTAAACCAAAAAAGCGCTGTGACTAGGAAGTCTATAAAGTATACAAAATAAATTTATTTTGGAACATTTTGTTTCTTCCAAATTAATCCCCGCTCAGATTCACCTGGTGACTCCTTGAAGGGTCCCGACCCATAGATTGAGGAAAGACTAAACCGTAAAAATAGTAGCTGTGGTTTCTTTATTTCTAATTAAACTTTTACCTCTGAACTATTTTTACACTTCCTCTGTAAACATTCGTTGGCAAATTAATAACCGCTTCTTCCCCAGAGTCTTGGTGATTTCTTGCCACAAGGATTTCAATGGGACTGTATACAAACGGTAGCCTTGCCCTAAAGCATCCCCTGCTTTATGGTTGGTTTGTCTCTAAATGGACCATCATTTACTAGAGGAACATCATGCTGCATTGAAGACTTGACACTTGATATTGAGACCATAAACGCATGATTACAATTTTTTTCCGGGGGAATGGATAAATAATCATTTACAGACTTTAATTGGGTCAGAGGTGGACATGGGGGTGGTATGATTTGACGCTGTATAAATAAAATAGAATTTGCCAAGGAAACGTAAACTCTGCTTATATTTTAACCCTTTTTGTGGAGGCTACTCAACAAGGATAGTGCTGCCCTTCCTGATTTAAAGTGGGGTGATTATAAAACCATTATCAGCCCATAACCAGACTAACTTAGAAAAAAAGAAAAACCTGGACTAAGTCCTGACAGAGTTGATTGGTGGAGCCACATGAAAGGCAGCCTGGAGGTTATTGTGGAGCAATGGCAGCCTTCACTGATCCCAGATCCTCAACTGTGGTTTCAGAAGCCGCTGACCTACTCTCTCTCTCTGTGTGTGTGTGTGTGTGAATACCAGTGTGTCTGGGTAACTGTTCCTCTCTGCCGCAGCCCCTTTCTCTGTGGATGGGGTTGCTATGGCAACGTTTTGAGGATTTTATTTGCGCTTTTCTGGCCAGGTAAATTAAAGAGTGAAAAGAATACAGATGGAGGAGATTTGGGTCAAAGGGGAGCATAATGAAAGTGCAGCACATTTTAAAATCGATGTATCTGATCAATTGCAGATTGTTTATTAGATTTAATTTAATTCTTTGATTCGTTTTTCGTCATCTTTTTAAAATACTTAAAAGTACACTTTAAATAATGCTTTTTTCTTTTTCTTTTATTCTGCTCCATCACGGAGGCAAATATTCTTTCAACTCCACTTTGGTTTAATAACCTTTGTAACATTGCAGAACCAACTAATACATATATTGTCACATATAACATCTTATGATATACAGTAATTTAATCTGCATTCACTGGCTGCAACATTAAAGTTATGAATACATGCGTCAAGTTAGAATCGTAAAAAAAGAACACATTTAAATGCTAAATGGGTCATTCGCCTTCTCCTTCTTTAATGATCCTCCTAACTTTAAACTCTCCTATTACTTAAATACGATTCTAGATGTGGTAGGCATAAATATTTCCAAGAATAATTCTTTGATGTTTTTATGTAAATAAATATTTATTTAGGCAAGTAGGTGTCATCGTGCTTACATTTTGTTACATTTTCTTACAGTTTGTACAACGTACCATTGGTTGGAGAGAACAAAAGAAATCTTGTCACTAATTTGGAACACCGCCCGACCAGGACGTGAAGTGAAGCAAATCAAACACCATCGGAGGTCTCCTCAACGCGTCAAGTGCACAAAAATAAAAAAATGCCTTTTTTGCCGTTTTTTTTATTTTAAAATGCCTATTGAAAGACGAAACAAGACAAAAGTGGAGCGAATATGTTTTCAACCCTACAAGTTTTTAATTTTTTTTAGCGTCGTTGTCTGGCTGAGCGAGCTAGCAGGCTAACGGTAAGCTGTGTTTCTAGCTAACGTTACGGTGTTGTTAACGTTAGCCCAGTTTGTGTCTTTAGCGATAATATCAGTAGTGTGTGTTTAGCTAACTTTAGACACTTACTGTGTTTAGCTTTAGCTTTAGCTTTTAACACAGTTGTTGTAGTTAGCTAACGTTAGAGAAGTTGTTGTGGTTAGCGGATGTTAGCACAGCTGATGTGGTTTGCTAACGTTAGTACATATGGCACCTGTTGCCGTCAAAGATGTTTTTTTAGTTAATTTTGTAATTGTTTAACGTTGCTATAAATGTAGAAGGGTTGTGACCACCTCCAACTCTTCTTTTCATTATCGAGTAATTTTTAACGTTAAATATTCCGCGGTGGAATACATTTAATGGCCTACTTTTCCCTCCGACTCAAGGATATTTAATCGTAAAAATATCAGAATCACCCTTTTGAAACTCGAACTGTATAAAGAATGTGTGTTTTTAGGTCATAAAACCCCATCAATCCTCACTCACTCGCATAACTACTTTATGTATTACTGCTTAGAAGCCATTAATCAATGTAACGAATAGGTTATCTAATAACTAACGTTAAATAGACATTTTAAAAGTGTACCAGAAAACAAAGTCCAGGTATCTTAACATAGTATTTAAGGGGTACTTGATTGATTTGAGTTAGTCACCATACTGATTAATTGTATCGCTAAAATGTTGATTAATTTTGTGTTCTATGGAAAAAGAGCTCAGCAAATTAACAACAGCTTGATTGCCAAATATGTTGAGGATCATTTTTGTTTTGAATTTTGAACGTTTAATGGCTGTCCCAGCGTTTACAGTTTAAATATCAGCCGCTGGTCGTTTACAAGCTTACAAGCTGCATGTGATTAATAGTCCTCTTGTACGTCCTGATTTGAGACCCTGGTATTTTCTGTCAGAAGCTGGTGTATTTCTCACCTGGTCGCCATGGATTCCTTCACTTTCCTTTCACAGCATGGAGACGCGTCAGTGAATTTCAAGCACATCCAAACCACACGTTATCGTTCAACAAACCTCCTGCAATATTGAGTATCCACGTGTCTTTAAACAATACAATTATCCCACACTATAATGTTCCATATTCAGTGCAGTGATGGGATGTTGTAAAAAAAGGCACATTTGGTTGTATCCTGTTTTTCCTGGAGCGGTCGGGCGATATAGGTACGAGGATGTAGCGTACAGCTCGGGGGAATCTACACACACAGCTAATGTTGCTATTCATTTATCCTCGATTTTTTTTTTTCGGCAACTGTCAACATCTCAACGCTGAGAGGCAATCGCGCCGCGGCGTCACGCTATTTTGCCGGCAAATTTGAACAATTTCAACTTTCGTTTTAGTGCGTTGGGCCGTGACGCATGTTCGATTTGTGCGAATTCGCGCTGCAGCTCTTTTAATGAATTAAAAGCAGGCGCTAGCTCATAATTAAGTGATTTGTGTGTTTTTAGGGCTGCAGGGAGGAAAACAGCCAAAACGCTGGAACCTACTGCGTAGCTTGTATATAGATTCATTAATTATACAATAAAAGGATCATTCCTCTCATCCAAATTCACAGTTTTACCCCAATTTATACTGCCGCTGGCGGCAAATAATGTACATTAGGTAAAGGAGACGTTGTGTCATTGATCATTTGTGACAGTGTAGTCGAGCTCCAGGAACCAAAACTGCAGAGCAGCATTTTTAAAAACATTTATAGGTCAACAAGCTCAGGTAAGTGAAGAGGGCATGATGCCCATTCAGCCATGATTTACTAATCATGTTGTATTGAAGAAGACTTGAAACCAGAGATTGAGACCATAAACTCATGTTTGCGATGTTTACTGGGGGAATGAATCGAGGGAGAAGTAGAGTGATTTTCTCAAATATTTCACTAGGGACAGAGTCGTCGCCCCCCGCTGGTCACTAGAGAGGATGCAAGTTTGCCGGATGAAACCAATAATTATTTTATTATCGATTATTGTATATATATTGTGGTAAAAGCTTCCCCGTTCCCCGTCCCCTCTCTGAGTCGGGGAACGTCCGCCATCTCCTGACTTTGACATCTGGCTGTCTCCACGAGCCGCACATCTGTTTGTTTGAAGTCATCTCTGTGCTTTGCTAACCACATCTGCTGCTTTGTGCGTGTGTGCGAGTGTGTGATGTATTCAGCGTCACCAACGGCGTCGGGCCGCATTCCTCGGTTCATTACTCTGCAGGACTCTGCCAGGCATCCATGAACTCCTAATCCCCTGTCATTTGTCATGTGTCTTCACCTGCTCCGTATTCATTCGCCGGTCTTCTTTGCTTTGTCCGTCGTTCACTCGTCCACTCGTTCATCTGTCACCTCTCCGACTTAAAAAGGCTTTTCTCTTCCTCTCTGCCGGTATCCCGGTATATGACGGTATTGTTTTTTTCAAGTAAGCTCATCAACCCTGAAAAGGACACAGGCGATCCCAGAGGCTCCACAGACTTTGCAACAAATTGTTTTCTGATCTAACGTAACTTCCGTCAGATTTTCCAAAACCAAGAACCCTCCAAACAGACACGGCTCCTCTCTTGGGCACAAGTTGTGTTGGTGCATCGCTGGTTTCTCGTTGTTCCTTCTGTATCGCTCTTTTGCGTGTTTTCATGTAGCATGTCGGTTGTGACGGCGTAACACCGGTATGAACGGCACGTGAGCAATTCATACCGTACGGAAATCTTATACTGTTTGAATCGGTACACCGTGCCGCCCTACAACCAACCGATTCAAAATAGTCCCCCCCCCTCCTCTCCCCCCTCCTCCGCACACACATTCATTTGTCTCACCTGTGTCCCTTTTACACCCCCCTCTCTTCTCCTCTTGGGGCCACTTTTCTCTCGCTGAACTGTGACTTAATGTGTCGTTACCTCGCCACCGACATGCAACGCTGCTGAGGAATGTCGCCTCGCAAAAGAAAACTTTGGAAAACGATATCCTTGATGAGATTCCTGGAGAGAAAAACCGAGGCCGAGGAAATACATCATACTGATGTGTGTTTTCTATTACCTACCTGTAGCAAGGAGACAGAGTGTGTGTGTGTGTCCCTCAAGGGCAACAGAGAAGAGCCTCTGGAGCGTTATCGACTCTCAAGGCCCAGCAAAACG